ATAAAACCAGTTCATGAGTGATTTTGGTCTTGGCGATAGTTGGCGTCTGCAGCACCTGACCACAAAAGAATATTCATTTTTTTCACCAGTCCATCACTCATATTCATGCATTGCCTTCTTTATCACCAGCAAGTTAATCATTACAAACATTGCAGACAACATGATCCACTCCATCAACATTAGTGACCATGCTCCAGGCTTTTTCACCCAGTTTACAGAAACCCATCACTATATGGCACAGAAAAAGCTTTCCATAGAGTAAACAGGTCTTTTCTAAGAAACACACTACACAGATCTGTCTTTGGGGAATCATTGATTAACTGGGTCAGTACACTCAGAACTCTGCACTCTGCATGACCCTCAGTCCTCACTTCAAGAAACAATTAAAATTATTGAATCATTCTCCACTATCTCTGATCACTCTGTTAACTGGAACAAATCCCTCCATTGAATAGTAACAGCTTGGATGTGGCATCCAACACAATCCCTTTATGCACAAGACACATCTAATATTTAGGTATTAAGGGGTCACTCAGGCTTTTAGCTGATCAGTCTTATTTTCAGTCCACTACTGAAAACAATAAATTATGATCTCTACAGCTGGAAGAACCTCCCACTACCCATCCTAGGCAGAACAGTAGCCATTAAAATGACAATTCTTCCAAAAATTGACCACCTATCCACAATGATTCCGACACATACATGTGTATGTGTCTTTCTCTCTCTCTCTCTCTCTCTCTCTTCTCTCTCTCTCTCTCTCTCTCTTTCTCTGCCATAAAAAGCCATAAAAAGAGCAGAAAGGAAAGCAGTAAAACAGGAAAAAACAAAAGCAAGAATTGATGATTGTATTGCAGATTTTGACCACAAAGGTGTCCAGATGGTACATAAAAAGACTAATGCAATCAAATCAACTTTGTTGCTAGTCTTTCACATATCCAAGACTGTAATCACAATTCAACTAACAACCTAGCATTCAAAAGGCTACAATCCTAAAAATAATTGAATGTTTGGGGGTTAGTTGTGCAACCGTCCTAATTCAATATAACTTATCGCATCCCCACAGTGGCGCTTATGACATTAGCGCTAAATGCCACTTGGTCACATGAACTCAACTTTTTAGTTTCTTTCTGTTTGTTTTTAACAGTCCATTTGCTTTATAATGTTAAACATTACACCATGAGTACTGTAATGTTAGAAGTAGTTATGAATATCTCGTATCTCATCATGAGTTCACCTGTAACATCACAAAAGTTGATATTTGATCTACTATATATTTCAGCCCTTGTTTTCTTGCTGTGAATTTTCAGATATTTGTTTGAATCTTATGCACTTGTATGTCCTAAAATGGGTTTTTCATGAAAGACACACCTTCTCAAAGACTGAAAGTGAAAGTCTACCACTAAGATTCCTAAGCACTCACACACTTACCAGGACAGTGCGCCTTTAAAGTGCATGAGGACTCTGAAGAGGCCTTTTCAATGCCAAATTACGCACTTCTCTTGACTTCTCATATGTAGAGACTTTTCTGTGAGAGTTACCCAGAAGACATGAACAGGCCTTGTGTCTTGCTTGTGAAGCGGTTTTGGGGTCTGTTGGGGTCCTAACACATTGCACATTCTGATCCACTGGCCAGGGGCCCCAAGCAGCACCTCTGGTTATAGAGCTGCAGCTCCTGGACCGGCCTAAAATAATCCACCAAATCCTGTCATGCTCTGGGGATTTCATGAACACACTCTTCTTCTTCACCGCTCGTCAGGGCTTTCTATTGAATAGTGGACAGATAGCCTCCATTGTGCATCCAAAAGTTCCTGACTATCGTTTCCGTCAACTAGAAATTTATGCCAACTATTTGCACATATACACGCTCATCCCCACTCTGCACTCCCTGACCCGAGGCCAGCACAGCCTCTCTTGACAGCTTGAATGTATTATGCTGATTTATGTATCTGGAGAGCTTGAGGCAAACCTCCTTCTTTGGTGGACGATATAGATTAATGCAATTCTTTCCTATGTGCTTAATTATCTGTAATGAGACAGTTGTTTGCATAACTGTCTCATTACAGAGACCTGCAGAGTCATTAGGATGTTCGGTAACGCTAAGAAACAGAAACACTAATTAGGCTGCGTAACATGAACTTCTGGGAAGAATGCACAGCAGGCCTTCTGCTGGGAAAACACTCTCAGCTGTCCGAATACTGATCATAAATAAATCCAAAGAGGGGAAACACACCGTCAAGTCGTAACGATGAAATGTTTTAATGGGGAGGAATTTTTTTTTTTTTCCTGCTGCATAAAGGAGAGCCATTCATCCCCGCTGGCTGCTTTTCATTCCATTTCTCTTCTCACAGCCAGACCACCGATGGATATTTCTATCTGTAAATGCAGACTTTAAAAACATTAGAATAAGGACGATTGTGCAACTTTTTGATCCAGTAGATGTCGCCCCTTGAGCTCCAGCATTAAACCAAAACAAACTGCTGTTTGACCACACCTCCTCCATACTGAAGCCTACACTCTCCTCCAGAGACACACCTCAGACACCCCTCCACTCAGTTATGAATTACAACACACCATAAGTAAGAAGCATTAAGCGCAAGCGGTGAGCTGCAATCACCTGTGTCCTGCATTGTTGTGTTAGCATGCTAATGTTAGCGCTCTTTAGTTAGCTCCTAGCTTCACATTTCATGTAAACTGACACAGAATGAGCGTGATCTAAAAACTCTTACTAACATCCAAATAATCAGTGAGTATGTTCTTCTTCTTCTCTCTAGTTCTTGACTAAAACAGCTTTTATACACAAGGGGAGGAGCCGGCCGTCCCGTCCATGTAAACACGGCTCTGACAGCAACACAGCCAGCAGGACTCGAGCTTCTCACTCATTGTAGACAGTCATGACTCAGAGACACATTTACACAGGATAGACTGGATTTATGAGATATTTATGTGGAACATGTTGCATATTCTTCCTTTAACTTTATAAAAAGTGAGGCCGTTATGCAGTAGATTTGCGTCACATGCTTTACATTTCTGACTCCACTGTAAAATTCAAATTAAAATAATTTTTGATGTCAGTAGTGATATCGTAAGATGATGGGCTGATGGTCTGTCCGTGTTGAACATGTTTTCCAATCATGCCTCAGTGGTTTCAGTTCAGTGATCTGCAGAAGTCTTTTTTTGGCTGCTGCTACCACAGCTTGTTGTGAAGGAAGCAGAAGCCTGAAGTCTTGTTTATATTATTAATTCCAGTTGTTCTTGAACATGGAGGTGGTTTGGAAAACATTTCCAGTGTCCAAGCTGAAGAGGCCTTTTTTTAAAACCACTAAAAGATGGTGCTGGTTTCACTAAAAGAACTTTAACTGGTAACAATAATTTCCATTACAGATTGTGTTCAGTGAACAGGTTGTCACTTTGAGTCTTGGGTGACGTGCACACAACCGGAGTGGATAAACTGGAGAACCAGGAAATTCCCAGTGGGTCAGGCTGGACCGTGACAGTGAATAGATTGTACAGGCTGCCCCTGCTAGAGATGAGTGAGTATACTTATTATTCCAGTAGCGTTTCACAAACTTCTGCCCTCCATCAGCCAAACAATAGACTCGGCCTGGAGGTCAGTGTCTGAGTGGAAACAAAAGCTTAAAGGTCACATATTTATGTATGAATCCACTTCACCATGTTTTTCTAACACCAATATGTGTCCCTAGTCTGTCTACAAACCCCCCAATGATGAGAAAAGTCCATCCTCTCTGTCTTTTACCTCAGGGGTGCAAACTCATCAGGGATGAAAAAGGTGACATGGATTTTTGAATATCAGCTTTAAAATGTGAATTTACGAAGATTTCAGCATCCAGACCGACTAAAGAAGCAGTGCAAACAATAAGAAAAACACAATTGCTTGTTGATATCTATGTTCTGTTCTAACTTTTTGATAAAGCTTCAGTGAAACATGAAAAACCTGTGCTCCCAACCTTCAGTCCCTTTTTATAAATGAATTTGCAGGACAGGGCTTACCATGTTCTACTAAGGGCTGATATGAAGGGCAGTCACTATGCAAGTAGCTCTCAGGGCAAGAGTCTGAGAGAGCTTGAGGCAAACCTCCTCCTTTAGTGGACGATATAGATTAATGCAATTCTCCCTATGTGCTTAATTATCTGTAATGAGACAGTTGTTTGAATAACTGTCTCATTACAGAGACCTGCAGAGTCATTAGGATGTTCGGTAACGCTAAGAAACAGAAACACTAATTAGGCTGCGTAACATGAACTTCTGAGGAAGAATGCACAGCAGGCCTTCTGCTGGGAAAACACTTTCAGCTGTCTGAATACATATATTGCGCAATCCGGCACGAGGAGGGTCTGTGGAGGGTCTGACCGTGCTCGCCAGCTGCAATAAGCATGAATAAGGTTTTAGATCTGCGACAGCTCGTGTCGCAGATTTAGGCTTTCATGACATCATAAAGGGCAGTAACCCCTCCCCCAGGTGGGTGACACTCCCACAGCTAGGTGTTTGTTCTGCCCTCTGAGTCTGCCTTCTCACCGTAAACCGTATAGGACATGGAGCGAGAAGACCGTGTACACCCAAGCCCTTCCAGAGAGGGGGCGTGGTCAGACACAGCTCATTTACATATTTAAAGGTACAGACACAGAAACAGCATGTTCTGAGCAGGGCTGAAATAGAGGGTTTATAGACATGATCAAATACAGGATCAGAGTGGATTTAGAACAAGAAACTTCACACACGTTTTGAGGAGCTCTGAAACTTATTTAAACTGAAGAAGAGGAGGAGGATATGTGACCTTTAAACATCTAGATGCGATGGCCGGTAAAAAAAAAAGGCTGAAAATGTGTGTGCATGACAATTTGTAATGATTAGCCAATCACAGACACTGGGACTATACGTTTGGAAGCATCCCCAGTGTGTGTGTGTGTGTGCGCGTGTCTGTTACATCATAATTAAAACACGTTTGATCGCCCAGAACAACAGAAAGAGTGAGAGGCTCTGAATAGTGAAGAACACATTTATTGTGAATGTTTTTGCTTGATGACAGCCGCACTGTGAAGTGATCGTGGTCATGTTCAGACAGGAAACAGATTTATTAGTGGTCTGTATCTCAACAATAAAAACAGGAAACAAGTATTGTTCTGTGGATAATGGATTTGTCCTTAACGGAGACACGAGAAAAGACACAATTCAGTTTAGGATTCAAACTCAGAACTAATCCAACATTACGTTGTGATAATAAAGATTTCGTACAGTGAAGAAAAAATTTAATTATAACTCCAAGTTTCTTCCCTTTTCTACAAAGGAGAATTAAAGACACATTAAGGGGAACAAATCTGAGATCTCGTGATTAAAGTTGTGAATTCACGAGAATAAAGTCGTACATTTCCAAGAATAAAGTTGTACATTTCCAAGAATAAAGTTGTACATTTAGGAGAATAAAGTTGTAAATTTACAATAATAAAATCGTACATTTATGAGAATAAAGTTGTGAATATAAAGTAATAAACATACAACCTAATTTTACGGGGTTAAATCTTAAATTGAAGGTCGTACATTTACGAGGATAGTCTTAACTTTTGTAAATTTGAAAAGATTTACTAAATTTAAAAGTGTAAATTTCAGATTTTATTTTCATAAATTATCAACTTTAATCTCATAAATTTATGACTTTACACTCGTATGTGTAAAGTACGACTTTACTGTAAATTAACGACTTTGATCGCTAAATTTTAAATTGTTTTTTTCTAACGTGGCCTTAATTTTCCATTGTTCTTTTCTAAGAACGTGTGGGCGTCTCACAGCTGGATGTTGAGTTGATGGTTTTGAGTCCACAAGCTTTGAGTCAGTTAATTAATCTTCTTTCAGTTCCAAAACAGGACGTCAAAGATCGTCAGTTATATTGTTTTCTTTTCTAAATTGAATTAAGTAAAATAAATAAATAAATCAAACCAACAAGGCAAAAGAACACAGATTCTATCTCCTCCTGTGCCCCCTAAACCCCCCCTCCCCTCAGGAGTTCCACTAATCCTCGCCCCTCTTACTTTCAGACCGGCGTGCTTTAATTAAGTTTCCCCTTTAAGGAAGTCCTGACTCTTTTGTTTCAGGTTTCCCCACAGGATACGCTGCTTTCAATGGATGGCAGATAAGCTGTCGACATGTTTTTAATCACACTAAAATGTTTTGGCAGCAGAAAAATCAGATTCCAAATAAAACGAGACATAAAGGTGTGACAGTAACAATAATCTACTTTGACAAATTCAGGTTCGGTAAGAGACCGAGCTCCATCAAACATTTTATTAGAAAACGAAGAACATTAAAGCCAACATCAGGCAGGAGTGTTTTGATGCAGAATCCTCTGATGGACCTGAAAACAGCACGAAGACCTCGTATCAGACGTCGACTCAGACACGTTTAACTCGCTTTTTGGAAAACAGCGTGCTGTTTTGAATTTGGTATCAAACCGTTTACTGAAACAGCTCTCTGGATCACTTTGTACATACTTAGTTTATTTCTAAGTGGAGTGTTTTACCTTCCTTGTTGAATCAAATGTTTTTACAGTCACTATTATAGGGGTAGATGGTTGTTATGGTTACAGGCTTCAATTTCTTGATTTCAGGATTTTGTGAAATGTCGATGGAGGATTTGAACGAGGTAAATTTACTTCCGGGATCAGAGCTGCCAAAAAATTAAATTGGGCGGTCGCTGTTGAGCTTTATTGAGATTGTAAACGTGGATATTTCAGCGTTTAGGTTCTTTGTGTTTGGTGACTTCTCTGATTTCCATGAAGCGTTCTCTCATGATTTTCTTACTTTTCATCTGACCCTGAACTCAAATATTAATAAGGCAAAAAGGTCTCCGCTGGGAGAACACATTGGAGTTGGAAGGTGCCAAAAATAAGGGTGTAAACCCCCCCCCCCCCCCCGGGTTGTAACAGTCATACTTCTCAGAAGGTGCGGCTCAAACACACAAGTTGAACTATAATTTAAGAAGGTACACAGGAATATCTGGTAAAAGATGTGTATGTGAACCCCACACACAGAATCAGTCACATAGACCACGTCAGTATCACAGATCTAGACTCAGGTCGGGATGTGTGGGGGACTTTGTTTTGGTGACCCCGGGACACAAAGTCAGTCATTTGAAGCTCTCGTTCTACCCCATTCCACCACCGAGGAGTCTGGATTCAGAGCTGCCCTCCGTTCTGGATCCGACAGGCCACAGCTGTGATCAGAGCCGCTCCCTTCCCGCTCCCGTCCTCCGACTTGTGGAAAGTCACCTGACACTGCGGGGCCAGTTCTTGTAGAGTCTCCTGCATGATGCTGGAGAAGCTGAACAGACAAGAGAAGCAGGAGATTAAAACATGTCAGTGTTGATCTTTTCAGATTTGATCCACAAAGTCATGATGTCAGGATGGATGTGAGGTTCATCAAATGTTCCCAACGTTTCAGGCTTCTTGTCAGTGTGTGGAAAACCGATGATACCCAAGTGTCAGCTGTGTTCTGATGCTTGCTAACGGGCCATCAAATGTTTGTTTTTTTAAAGATTTATTTTTGGCCTTTTTGTGCCTTTAAGAGATAGGACAGTGGATAGAGTCAGACATCAGGGGGAGAGAGAGAGTAGGGAATGACATGCGGGAAAGTAGCCACAGGTTGGACTCGAACCTGGGACGCCCGCTTGGAAGACCACAGCCTCCATACATGGGGCGCACGTACTAAACACTGCGCCACCAACGCCCCCATCAAATGCGTTTTTAAGCTTAAAATGAGAGTGCAGATTCACATTGTGCAACACAGAGAGGAGCACAACAAGCATGGCAGGTGAAGACACACAGGAGGGGCTCCACATGCACACACACACATTACACATTGTCGGCACGTTCCCCCATCACGCCTTGGTCTCGACCTCCGATGGAGGAATATATATTGCACATTGGAGGCATAACTGGTGTTAATATTCAGCATGTGACCATGTGTTATCAATATTATGTTATGTAACCGCCATTTGTCATTGTCTTAAGTGATTAATGACCTGCAACCTGAAACACAGCAGTATGGTACGTAGGGCTGCGGTGATCCAGGGTGGCTCGATCACTCGTTATCCGGTATTTATCAACCAATTAGGAGTCTGAAGTGACTCTCGTTCTTTGGGTTTAAGTTAATCGGCCTTTCAGCGAGACGTTTTCATATCACCAATAGGTCATGTACCAGTGTGAGAATCACTAATAAAAGTATGTTGAATGTACAATATGACATTTTATTGTTGTCTTTCATGGTGGCTGCCACAACATGTTTATCATTACCATGGAAACACCGGATGTTACGTCAAAGGCCGCTGAATGAGGAAGTGTGAGCTGCTGCTGAAAGCTGCCGTGCTGTTCCTGTATGTGCTGCTGTGATAAAAATCATCATGTAGATTATAGATTAGCTCGTCTGTAAACATATTCTCTTCCTCAGGTCGGTTTCACCCGGTTGTCATGACTACGGTCAATGCAGAGTTTGGCTGTGTCCGAAATCACTCCCTATCCACTATATAGTGGACATGCCATTTTGTAGTGCTGTCCAAATTCTGAGTGAGCATGGTCATACCCTATATAGTCCACTCAATGTATCCCACAATGCATTTTAAAAAGTAGTGTATGAGCGATGGTCACTATGCGAGCAATATATACCATCATGCATTGCGGTTCAAAAGATTTTTACGAGCGGAGAGAGGAGCGACCAACATGAACACAGAAAGTCATTAAAGTTCATATTCAGAGCGTTTTACTGAAATCTATGATCGGTTTTAATAAAGAGTAAAAGATCATCAACTTTATTGATGTTAGTTTGTCCCAATGATGATGACAGACGAGAAACCAGAGTCTGTGAGCATAAATAATTTAGGTCTGAAAATATGTCTCATTCTGTAAAATTCAATATTTTATAAGTATTTATTATTTGTAAATGCTTCATGAAAACACATTCAGTATAATATGAGTTATCACGGAAATTCATACTGTTATTTACCATTATTATTGATCCTCGGCCGTTGCTAAGCTGCAAGTTCCAGTTGCACGATGACGTCACTGTCAGCGGCTGCCGAGTGAGCGAGTAGTGTCCGAAATGTTTTTTCATTTTGCTGAGTGAGTGCACTATATAGTCCACTGCACTAAACTCACTATATAGTGAATAGGGAGTAGGGAATGAGTGAGTGATTTCGGACACAGCCTTTGTTTTTAATCAAGGATTGTGGGGGGGGTGGGGGGGGAATCACTCCCATGATTCCCCTCCAGCCTGGACAACGTCATGTTTTGTTAATATTTTGATTGAGAGCCCCCTGGTGGTGGAGTTTACAAACTGTGCCTTTAAAGAATGTAGGAATCTCGATAACGTCTCCGTACTCTTGATATGGATTTGATCCCTCGTATGGTCCTGAAACGGACTCATCCATGACGATGATGAGAAACTGAAAAAACAAACTAACAAAAACATGATGTGTCCTTACTGAGGGTGGGTTTTGTAGAGGGTGCCATCTACTCCCACGGTGACAGAGAGCTGATTCAGGTTGCGGTTTTCCCTTATCTTGTCGACCACGGCAGCCAAACCGGCACCACAGAGCTGAGCTGCGCGGTGGGCGACCACGCTGCACACCTCCTTCACCAGCACGCTGTCGTCACACGTGGAGCTGGTGAGGCCCAGGTGCTGCAGGATGGAGCGCACCTGTCGCATCGCCAGGCGGTCCCTTTGAGATCAGAGAGGAGGAGAAAATTTACAGCAACAAGCGCTCACCACAGGCTGTGAACGGGTGAACTGCTGCATTACACAGAGTATGATGAGAGTGAATTATCTACATAGCTCCTCAGTCATTGGACGTTTCCTTCCTGTTCTCTCTTCAGGGTTACTTCACACCATTTCTCCTGAGCTGTGTGTCGACACCTCTCAGGTGTCACTGATTGATTTGATGGAGGCAATCAACAGAGAGTTGGCCGTCTCTCCTCCATACAGGACTGTGTGATAGTTTGAATCCTGTTGTCTGTTTATCTGTTGTTGAGTTTCATGTTTTTTTTAATGCATCTAAGGACGACTGGCAAACTATAAATAATAAGGTCGGGGGGTCCTGCATCTCCGATGTGTTCTTGGGCATGACACTAAATCTCAAGTTGCTCCCGCTCCTGGCCTGAATGTGTAAGCAGCCTCTACTCCTGTTGTAGTACTCAAAGTCAGGAAACACCTTTTTGAAGGTCTTCTAAAGCATTTTTACTTGGTCTTGTCTCGGTCTCAGCCTGGGCGGACTCCGGATTTTAAATTGAGACCAGTCAAGACCACCACTGACAGGCCACACCATTACTGTGACTAGAAGGAAAACGCCTCTTTCTACATGAACAAATAACTTCAAGTCATTCAGAATTAGTTTTTTCCCCCCCGGTTACGGCCGCAACCTTCCCAGTGCGTGATCATGTCTCAGTCTCGCCCTGCCTTGGTCTTGACTCGGTCTTGATCCCTGACTGTAAATGGTAAATGGACTTGAGCTTGTATATTTATTTACTAGTCTTCTGACTCTTCAAAGCTCTTTTACACTACAGGTCACACCTACACATTCACACAGTGATGGTAGAGGCTGCTGAGTAAAGAGTCCATCAGTATTAACTCATCCATTCATACACACTTGATGGTAGAGGCTGCTGTGTAAAGAGTCCATCAGTATTAACTCATCCATTCATACGCATTCACACACTGATGGTAGAGGCTGCTGTGTAAAGAGTCCATCAGTATTAACTCATCCATTCATACACATTCACACACTGATGGTAGAGGCTGCTGAGTAAAGAGTCCATCAGTATTAACTCATCCATTCATACACATTCACACACTGATGGTAGAGGCTGCTATGTAAAGAGTCCATCAGTATTAACTCATCCATTCATACACATTCACACACTGATGGTAGAGGCTGCCCATCAGATGCCGATGAAGCAGTGGGAGCAGCTTGGTGTCTTGCCCATGGACACATCGGACATGTGGCTGCAGGAGCTGGGGATCGAACCCAGACCTTCCGGTTGAGAGGCGACTGAATCTACCACTGATCCACAGCCGCCCCTTGTCTTGGTCTTGATCTCTAAATGTCTCGGTCTTCTCTCGGTCTCGGGGCTCTCTGGTATCGGGTATGTCCTGGTCTCAGTTACTGAGGTCTTGACTACAACACAAGCCTCTACCATCAGTGTGTGAATGTGTCTTAAACAGTTAAGCCAAACCTTATCAGACGAGTGACATTAAAGACTAACAGCTGTGAAAAGAAACAAACGCTAAGACTCTTTATTGAGTTATTAAAATACATACAACTCAAACATTTAGTTCTCGATGATGAGATGGGTCTGGATGTGCGGACACTTTGGTGTAAATTCAACTATAAAGATGTGAAATATTGTGTTATGTGTGTGCACACGTCTGCACACTTGTGGTAGGGAGGCCGAGATATTTACTTGTGTTGTGTATTTCCTAGTGGGGCGCCTGGATCCACAGACAGCGCCCCACAACCATCAGTTACGAGAGCTAACTTGTGCTTCCCTCTGTAATGTCCGTTAGGTGTGTGGCTGTTTTGAGCGACTGAAGCTGTGTGGTGAGGTTCCCTGAAACTAAAAGAAGTGCGTCACTCACCTCTCGATCTGAGACAGGAACTTTGTCTCAAAGATTCCCCGCGTCTCGAGCCGCTTGGACAGTTTGCCTCTGAACAGCAAGCCCTTGGCGGTGTAATCTATGAGCACGTTCCTCACGATCTCGCCCAGGTACATGCCGCTGATCATCTTCTCATACCTGAAAAAAACACACAAAACAAACTGACCACACAGAAACTCAGCAGTAACATTTACAATACTGACACAGATAAAAACAATGAAGTGTCCTTCTTTAACATCACTGAGACTACAGGGAGACACTGAGGAGGACTCTCTACGGGGAGCCTGAATGGATATCGATCACCATCAACTCGTTAAAGCTGACCGCCCGGGTACCAATAAATAAAACTCAGCTGCAGGAGGTCAGGTAACGTCTGTGTAGCACGCTCAGAGGAATCGAACAGCCGACTGTGTTTTGATTGAAAGCCCCATGTGGCTGATAGTCGAAGCCGTGCAGCCTCGTTGCTGTGGGGACGATGGCAGTAAGTCCACCAGTGAAACAGCAGACTCCTCTTCAATATGAGCCGGACGGCGTCGGCGAGTTTCTCTCCCCTCTCTGTGTTTACACTTGGAGCATGTGTCCACTGTCTTGTTCTGCACACACTGTCAATGTTCTCTACCGTAATACCTCGACTCATTGTTTTGATGTATGATAATAAACTCTCATTTTTTTTATGTTGCTTTAAAGAAGCTCTTATGATGTCAATGCCACTCAAACTGAAACTCGAGGTACCTGAAGAGATAAACTGACTCAAGAGGTCAGACATACAGAGACAGACAACCAGCCACACTCGCAATCTGACACTTGTTTGACCCCTAAAGTCCAGTTTGTTTGACTAGTGAGTGCTCCGTACACTTCCTCAGCCCTGGCACGCTTGGAAGAGGTGTGTTTCAGTAAGTTACAGTTCATGATGAGCACACAGGTAAACAACATGGACAGCCTTCATTATGGAGAATTCCCAGTGTTCTGTGTGTATCTGACTAACATGACTCAAAATAAGCCTCAAAGTCAGTAAACTATCTGTCATGTTCTCTGTGCTGTTCTCCAAAGTGCGGACGCAGACTCAATCGTTCGTCCCTTTTTTTATTTTTGAGTCTGCCTGTCTTGTAAACTAAGAACGCTTCATGATCACATAAAGCCATTCATGTGATGTATAAAAACATTATGAACAAGAGGTAACCGTGCTCCAGGCCCGGTTAGTCCTGGAGCAGTGTGAGTGCAGACCAGAGGGGTAATGGGGAGGGGGGGGCAATTGTGCTTAAGCACGGTACAGGAAACTAGGCCTAGTGTGATTGCTTTTTTTCTCAGAGTTACACTGAATTTAATAAATTCTTCCTTTTCTGTGATTCTGTTGCCATGACTACAGATTATGATATGACGAGAGGTTTTAACCTCATCAGCTCTCAAACACATCTCTCTGAATAGGCGGCCTTCGATATGAACGCTCCTTTAACCTTTGACCCTTCATTATAAATGATGTGAAGGGTGAGGCTCCTATTTACCTTCACCTTGGTGACCTTTAGCCTCTCCCGGTTTGTACTGAATGTTTGTGTGATGCTTTTAAAAGTGATTTTTTTTTTTTTAGACGACCAGATTTCACACGTCACAGAACAACTATGCCACACCTCTGTTTCCCGGGGTTGTTAGAGCTCTCGTCGACGATGCGGTCAAACTCGGTGCAAAAGTCATCAAGCTCGCCTTTTTCACCGAATGCTCCCCACTCCATGTTGACGCACATTCGACCGTCATCACCCTCCACCACTTCGACGTTCCTCATTTCCTCCATGTAGCAGGCGTTGGTCCCCGTGCCTTGGATCAACACGGGTGGGGAAGGTGTTACAAAGACATGCATGGGCAAAGACTGGCTCGCAGAGGAGCGTAAGATGAAGGGCGAGCAGACTTACCTACGATGAGTCCCACCTCACACTGGGGGTCCTCATAGCTGCAGGTCATCATCGTCCCCACCGTGTCGTTTACCACCGCCACAAAGTTCAGGTCAAACTCCTGGAAGCAGCGACAACAAACTTATATTTCCAATTAAAACCTTTACATATGAGGCAATTCTTGGTCTGCTCCCACACTTTCTAAAGCTGTTTTCACATCTGCACTCCTGAAAATATAATAATTCACACAATTCACACATGGCTGCTCACAGCTGGAGACTATTGTCACAGAGTGTGTGTGACTGTGTGTGTGTGTGTGTGTGTGTGTGTGTGTGTGCTAATACTGAATACAAATTAACCCAAAAGGGTTAATTTTATCTAGAAAAAAAATGAAATTAACATCTTCAATTGTGTATGTGTGAAGGTATCATCAAACCTAGATGGTCTACTTGATCTCTGGATTGACCCCCTTCACGCTGTTTGTATTATTTCACGTTGATTAATTGATGTTTAAATGAAGCATCTTTTTCTTCTTAACCCTCATGCATCACTATGGATATTTTTGTCCATTTGGTCAAATTTTACCTCTTCATTTGGCCATCATTTTGTCTGTGTTAGTGCATATGGCACCATTTTTAAAAATAGATCAATAGAACACTGGGAAACAAATCTACTACCCTCTTAAGTCACAAAGGACAAAAATGTCCACTTCCAAAAAACTGCTATAAAAATAAAACAGATTGATATTTTTTTCTACTTTTTTTTGCATAAATCTCTTAAACAACTTCAGCCCTGCTCGAAAATATCAAATATTGAATAATTATCAGGAATTTAACCCTTTAAATGCCAGAATCATGTAATCAAACTGGCATTTAAAGGGTTAAATTCCTAAAATTATTGAATGTTTGGTAGTTTTGAGCAGGGCTGAAGTTGTTTAAGAGATAAATGCAGAAAAAAGTAGAAAAAAATATCAATCTGTTTTATTTTTTTATCAGTTTTTTGTCATGGACATTTTTGTCCTTAGTGACTTAAGAGGGTAGTAAATCAAACTGATGCCTGAGGGTTAAAGTCAACAGAAGCTTCTTCATGAAATCCTCAGCGTGTGTTTTGTAGTCTTTGTGTATGTCCTATTTATTTATTAATATTAAAACCCTAAAAAAATCTATCTTCAAACAGCTGTTAGAAGACTTACAACACCTGACAACACAATCACTCACAGGCAGTGATTCTGACTTGTACTGACCTGTCGGCGGCGGACGGCGTCTTTCAGTAATACAATGACATCCTGGCCCTCACAGCCGCTGGCCTTGAAGCCCTTTGTCCACTTGAGGAGAATGCCCTGGGAGAGAATGGACATCGGTGATTATGTGATTCAGCGTGAGTACCAAACATACCAGCGTTTGACAGAGGTGAAGGTTGGAGCAGAAGCTTCCCGTGAAGAGTAATCACTTTATTTTCTATCTAAATGTTGTTCATCATATCATTGTGGAAGAGAACACTTTGCCACAGTTATACACAAAGAGTCGTTGTGCTCTTCTGGTGAACATGAGTCAGTGATTGTTCGCTTTGCAGACGTGATCAACAACACATTTCACAAATGTACATGTCCACTCCACTTTCAGTCCGAGTAAAGAAACACAAAGTAGGTATTTTAATGTTGTAATCTAACAGAAGACTGAGTTATTAACCAACAGGGTAAATTTTGAGGGAAAACATTTAGTAAAGAAACCCCTCAAAAAAAGTTTGGAAATGTTATTTTGCCCCTTTAAATAATATTATTTTTGACACATTTTTTTTGGTGGCTACCCACACGTTTAGCTGTGTTGCTCATTCCATAAATGCATGATGCTTAAAAGTTATACCTCGTTGTAAAGGGGACTAATCAGGCTTTCCAACAATATATAACAGAACACCAATAAATATTATTAAACGGGCAAAATGAGGAGTACAGAAACAGAAACAGCCTGTTCTGAGCAGGGCTGAAATAGAGGGGTTTATAGACATGATCAAATACAGGATCAGAGTGGATTTAGAACAAGAAACTTCACACACATGTTTTGAGGAGCTCTGAGACTTATTTAAACTGGATGAAGATGAGGATATGTGACCTTTAATATCATCCACACCGGGTAGATTAAATGTGATATCTTATGTTTGAAAGCTGATCTTGACCTCTGAGTGATAATGAAACAAACGTTACCTGATCCAGTTTGCTTTGATGACAAGGGAAGGAGAATGTAAATCCCAGAGGGAGGGATGCCCCTTTCATGCCCATGTACTCCAAAAAGTCTGCGATGCAGCTCACAATGTGGTCGAAAAGCTGAGTGAGGGAAAAAGCACAAAATGCACATCAGGATTAAAAACAACGTAATGTCTCTTAATGAGTCATGTTATTAGAAAAGGTATGCTAAGTAACATATGTGAGGTACTTCAGTGAGAGATTGAATATATGTCACGATATGAAGACAGTAATGTGAATATTCTACAGACAAACACTTTGCACATGTCAAGTTAAAACAGTTTATATTTTTGTAAACTGTGAGCAGTGCATTGTGGGTTGAATTTGGTTGTCTGTAAACGATGTCATATAGGGTTTGCAGAGCGTGACTAACGTTAGCATTGCTAACAGCACCAGCCTTCAGTCATCCTTACAGGCTAACATGCTGATGTGTGGTTACACATCGCTCCGCTCGATATGCCAGTCTAACCCGACGCAGCCGGCAAATGACTTTATCTCCATTTTTTAAATCAAAACTGCACCGCGCTAAAGGATGCCATTCTTCCACTCTCTTTATTTTTTGTTTCAGGTCATGCTGCAGAATTTGAGCCATTTTTTTAAATTCAACTTTGAACAAATGTAGAATATAAAACCTTATGTTCAAACACATTCGAACCCCCTTCCCCTCCCCCACGCTGAAGACACAAAACATTTTACTTAACTTTAGCGTTGCAATAATGAGCCTCAAACCAAACAGCCTGTCGACAATCTAAGAGGACGGATTTATTTTTTTATATTCTTCCCCAGAGACATGAGACTATTAACTTGTTTGGGATCAAGTGCAGCTCTGTATTTATTCACAATACCACCTGCTGAAGAGAACGACCGTTCAGAGCGTACAGAGGTTCGTGGTACACTCAGATATTTGGAGCCAGCTTGGAGAGTTGCCGGTTTGTAGCGATCCCGTGTCTCTCCACCAAAACAATGAGCTGCTGTCTGCAGAAAGACGAGTCTCCCTCGTGTAAGCGTGCACTTCCTGAATCGCGGGCCCGTTGCTTTTTGCCTCAACATTACAGTCGTCATTTACTGAGGTCAAGAGTTCATGCAATGGTCAAGTTACACTGAGGGCGCCCTCTGCTGAATCAAACTGTAAACTACTTTGGACAGCCTGGTGCGCCGATTGACTCAGTCGGGTATGGCTGCATCCTGTCGCTCTCTCGTCTCATGTGCTCTGGAGCCCCCGCTCTTCCAGAAATTTACAACGGCAAGAAGCAGTTTATGAACTTGCGCATTACTTAATATTTACATTCTATGATTAATTCAAACATTACCACCGCGCTAATGGATGGAGCCACGCGCCCAAGGTTTACAAGATGCCCAAATGAATGTATGAATGAAAAGACGTTCAAATGAGTCACGCAGAGGGGAGAGTTAGAGCACCGTTTTTTTTCAACAGCTGAACCGACGCTGCTGATTGAGCTGTGTGTTTATATATAACTCAAAAAGCACATATACATGTAGAATGGAGAAATTGCTTATTTTGTACTTAGTCTTGAATGTATAAGCACCTAGTATGTTTGCAATATATCACGTACACTACAGATATTTTTATTTCCAGAGCTTTATGTTGAAAATTAGAAGCTCAGGAGGATCGGCTGCAGGCATCCAGACGAGAGCACACAGACGAGAGAGCACCAGGATGCAGCCATATAGTCTTGGAGTGACTGTATATTTTTAATTTGAAAGTTTCATTACAGTTTGAATGTGAACTTTCTCACCAAGGCTCGAATGAATGTTAGAACTTCAAATAAAAAATGACGACCCTCGAACCAGATGGCAGCAGCCACAACATTTGACAAGCTTTGAATCCTACCGAGTCCACCGTGCATCATATGTGGAAGACACCTTAATTTCAGATTTGGTAAATTCTTGTGGTGTTCTTGAACCCTGATAGATATTTCACCTCTTCCCCGGTGCTCTGCATGGTCTCCTGGGGGATGCTGTAGATCTTTTGCTGCATGTCCACAGTGTGTTTTTTTCCACTTTTCAAATGCACCAGCAACACCCGAAAGCTGGATCCACCAAGATCCAACGCCAAGAAGTCGCCGTGCTCTAAGGGGGGGCAAAAAAAACAACAACTAGAATCCTGAACACATTCAAGAAACACGTACAGAATATATAACACATATTTCATCAACGAGCAAGTGGAAGGTGTGAGTCTCCTGAGGCTACCTGTTCCATCGGGTGTGGATCTCACATAGGTGGGAAGCATCTTAAGACTAGTCTGGTCACGCGTTTGCTTCGACAGACCTCGCACCATCTCTGCACTCAGTCGCTTCTTCACCTCCAGGAGCTGCTCGTGGCTCAAACGCAGGGTGTCAAGTATGCTCTGACGCTCGCCGTTTTGAGCAGCAAGACGATAGGCCACCGCCGTAACCATGGCGGCACCTTTCCCACTGCCGCACTGAGATGTCAAGAAACGCACGTCACAGTCCGGCACGAGTCGCCGCACCATCTTGTGGAGTCCTCCGGGAAAACCTGAAATAGAAGGATGGTGCATTGAGTCATAGCGGGGTGGTTTGTTTTGTGTTAAAATAATTTAAAGTATGATCAATGTCTGATTGCGGACCTCCCGTGGCTGCTCGTCGTCTCACGACTGGACTCCATCAGTGACAATTTCTGCAGCCATGGGTCTAAAGACTTTTAAAAATGTGGCCTTCAACACTCAGCTGAGAGCACAATCTGACATAAGTGACGCTGCAGTGGTTGTCTCAGCTGTGTATTGAGCTCTCACACACATTTACACCGTTGAGTTTGTGAGTCACACAAAGACATGACAAAGAGGTCAGGAGCACTTACTCTGCATGGTTTTTGTAAACGGAGCCATCCACTCCAATTGTGGCGCGCAGCTTCTCTGCCGCTTTGTTATCGCGGATCTGCCGCAGCACTGCCACGAGAGACGCCGCACACAAGTGTGCAGCCCGTGTGGATACTATCTGACACACCCTCTGTGTGGCGATGCAGTCCTCGACCGACGGGTCCAGGCCCAGGCCTCGAAGCACCTCTTCGGCACTCAAAAGACCCTCTTCATCCCTGCAGAGAGAGTGGAAAGTGATCCTTCAGTAACAGTGACTTTCAGGTGAATAATGAGCATGTTGCTGTTTTGGCTAATAATGACTGGTTTACATATAGAATTGAAGTTTCTACTGTTAAGTGTCTATTCAATAAAGAAGAAACAATAACCCTTTCTGATCACTTAAATGTCACATATTATTAAAAATCCACTTCACCATGTTTCTCTAACACTAATATGTGTCTGTAGTCCGTCTACAAACCCCCCAATGATGAGAAAAGTCCATCCTCTCCGCCTTTTGCCTGCTCCACTTTTCAGAAAATGTGTGCTCAAACAGACCATTTGGAGGTTTTCCCTTCATGACATCACAAAGAGCAGTAGCCCCTCCCCCAGGTGGGTGACACTCCCACAGCTAGGTGTTTGTTCTTCACTCTGAGTCTGCCTTCTCATTGTAAACAATAGGACATGGAGCGAGAAAGACCGAGTACACCCAAGCCCTTCCGGAGAGGGGGCGTGGTCAGACAAAGCTCATTTACATATTTAAAGGTACAGACACAGAAACCGCCTGTTCTGAGTAGGGCTGAAATAGAGGGGTTTATAGAGATGATCAAATACAGGATCAGAGTGGATTTAGAACAAGACACTTCACACACATGTTTTGAGGAGCTCTGAGACTTATTTACACTGGTTGAAGAGGAGGAGGATATGTGACCTTTAAGTCTCACCCTCTCAGGGATGTTAATGGAGAAAGAAAACATGCATTAAAACACATTATCTGCACAATCATCTGAAAATGAATGTATTCGAGCTGGTTCAGCAGATTAGTGTGTAAACAGTGCAACATGACTCTCAGTACAAGCAGGAACAGCAAGAATCCACTGATGAACCAGATAAGACAGTTTTAGGTGCAATGCCGTCTTTGCGTAGCAGACAGAGCGATGTTAGGGAGCATGCTCTGAGCGTTCGTGCGGTAATGTGGTCTCAATGATCCTAGGCACACGATGACAGGTCAAAGTGAAATCTTGTTATACTGTATGGAGGTCTTTAAAGCCTTACATAGATCTGTTTGAAGAGGACACTCTCTGTCTTCAGCCCACAATACCACCACTGTCACTTAAACTGAGGGCTCGTCCACACAGGCAGGTATTTTTTTAAACTTTCTCTGTGAGTGCACCACTCACTAGGTTCTAGAACACATCTTCATCAAACACGACAACACACTGTTACAGCTGCTCTCACTTTCTCGACTCTCCACTTGACATCATAGTGGGAGAGTTACTGTATGGTACTGTTACTGTATGTGTTAGCATGTAAAAAATCCAGTTAGCATCGTTAGCACTAGCGCTAGTTTGGCTACATCCGCAATCGCACTAGAGATGTACTGAGAGTCATGTTGCATTGTTTACACACTAACCTGCTGAACCAGCTCATGTAAACAAAAGTGACAGCGTTATAAAATGACGTCAAACGGAGGAGAAACCGGTCTACATGATTTTGCAGATTATTGTACTGTTTTACTAATCCAGATATTGTGCAAGTGGTCTTACTGTGCGCATTGTTGATGTACGTGCGTGTTGAAAATGCCTCAATAAATAATACACAAAAAACGGAGGAGAAACTGGCACACAGCATGACGTTACAAGAACAAAACTCTGTTTTCTCCGTCTACACAGAAACACCTTATACTGAGTTTCTGAAAATATTCATCCTGGAAGGAGATTTCAAAACGCACAGAGATATGTTATCAAAAATACCCGTCTACATGTGGACGGTGCCTGAGTTCCCCAAACACACTCTTATACACACGTACTTGTCGGTGTCGATGGTGTAAATGTAGCTGGTTTTGAAGCGCCCGGTTGTGAGGAGCTGTGCTGTCGTCTTTCCTTGAAACAGCAGCTTCTCTTTGGTCATCCTCACCAGGATGATACGAACCATTTCCCCCATGTACATGCCGCTGATCATCTTCTCAAACCTGCTTGCAGAGATGAAAGAAAAAAGACGGATCAAATCCTTCATCACAGACACATACATCCACTCCTGACATTTCATCAGAATCAATCCACACAGGAGAACTCAAAGGGCACAGAGCCGTTCTTTTCCTTTAATGATCATTTCTCTGATGACGCATAGACCCGACACTCACAGAGAGTGAGTCCAAACTCCGCACTGGAAAATGTTATCAATACATGTTTCCCTTTGGATTGATCCTGAACACATGTAGTCATCTTTACTGTTTGAATATCAATAACAGCATTACAGTTCTTCACAGTGATTCAATCTCACTGTGCACGGCCTGTTGTCGCATGAACACTCCTGAAAATATCAGGAAGTCTGCCCCTGAAATCCTCCTGACCTGGTTGTCCACACATGCACCTCACAGTGGGAGACTCACTATCCCTGTCAGACACGAGGGGGGGGGGGGTCCCCTATACGACACTATAATGAGAATATTTGTTTTTCAATGCTACATGTAGTTGAAGAGAATGTCAATGTGAACTAAAGTGGAGTGGAGAAGAACATACTGGAGAACAGGAAACATGCAGCAGCAGGTTCATTAGAGCACAGAGATGATAGAGGTGGTGTGCAGACAGTCTATGGTCGTGCAGCGATCACAGGTGAATAAACGTCACCACCACCTCCCACTGGCTCCAGGTGAATTCTCCTGATTATATCCTGCTGCGTTCTCACATCAGCTCTCTCTGACTTTCTGCAGAATAAATACGAGGAGGCTGGAGGAGAAACTCTGGGATAAAGTGTGAGTGAAAAATGTGTCTGTTTGTGTTCACACATGCAGCTCCTACAAAAAAATATCAGGAGTTTGTGCGGGACGGCTGGCTCCTCCCCTTGTGTATAAAAGCTGTTTTAGTCAAGAACTAGAGAGAAGAAGAAGAACATACTCACTGATTATTTGGATGTTAGTAAGTGTTTTTAGATCAAGGTCATTCTGTGTCAGTTTACATGAGATGTGAAGCTACGAGCTAACTTAAGAGCGCTAGCATTAGCATGCTAACACAACAATGCAGGACACAGGCAGCAGCAGCTCGAGCGAAGGACAATTATGTCCGCTGCTTGAACTTAATTATGGTGAGTTCTAATTTCTAACTCCTTCATGTGAACGCGAGTGGAGAGGGGTTGGAAGTGTGTCTCTGGAGGAGAGCGGAGGCTTCAGTATGGAGGAGGTGTGGCCAAACAGAAGTTTGTATTGGTTTCATGCTGCGTGCTTAAGGGCGACATCTCCCTTTAAATACCAGATACGTTGTAATTAATCTGGGAGATTTTGTGCTTTCTAAAGAGAAAGCTTGCACGTAGAGTGTATGAAGGCATGGTGGAAGTAAGTCTTAATGACGGTTTAGTTAGATACTGTACATCATAAACTAGAAGAGAGCTGCAGGGAGGAGAAGAGAGGTGAGAAAGCACACGATGACAGGAGAGAGAGAGAGAGATAGAGAGAGAGCGAGTCAAGTAAGTGACATAATGACTGTGAAAAATGTCTTGACTGAACATTAAGTACTTCAATTGTGAGTGGATGGATTTTTAAATAGAATCTGGACTCAGAATGCTTCGTCCTCATCTTTTGTAGAACGAAACGGATGTTCAAGTCGTGTTTCGTAAAGGTGCGCTCTTGAATTCCGACATGAAACAAACTTAACATTCACAGGATACAGGAGCCGGATATTATCTAAATGTTTACAGGAGTGCAGAGTACAGATCGATACGGGCCTGTAAAAAGCTTTGACTGAAGGACGCTATATGACAGATGATCTCAGTCACTTACAGCTGCTTTCCAGGGTTCAAAGAGCCAGCGTCTATTTCACGGTCAATATCAGTGCGCAGGTCCTCCAAGGCGCCGTCATCTCCAAACGCCCCCCACTCCGTGTTTACACACATCCGCCCCTCGTCACCGTCCAGCAGCTCAAGATTTCTCATCTGCTCCATGTAACAGGCGTTGGTCCCGGTTCCTTTGGGGAAGAATTTAAAGCACAATAATTAATGAATACTCAGCCAGATTTACACACAATTTCCTCATAGTTCATGCACGCCACGTTTCATTCGACGCCGCACAAACTCTAGTCAATGCTCCTGTTTCCACAGCGCCACTACGCTCTGCTCAGTTTAAAAAATGTGTAAGTCTGTTTTCGATACAGAGTACGCTGCAAGCACTCGTGAAGCTGGACAGAGAAGATCGAGCTGGACAGGAAGTCAGACAGACCGCATGGTCAATTTCAAAATAAAAGACTCACCACCTTCATCAACACTGACGTCAAAAACAGGCACCAAATGAACAAACAAATCGTCCTCAGAAAGACAAAGCAACATGTTATTTGCACGTTTTTCTCTTAATTCATGTGTGATCTTGTAGTTCTCATGTGATTTTGTAGTTCTCCTGTTATTTGAGTACAGCTGATCATGGCTGTGTACTTTGGAAACATACCCAGTGGGGCAGGGCCTGCGCCTTTGAACGGAGCATAACCATGGTGCTGACAGAACGTGGCCGACCGTACTATGTGGAAATTGTGAGTTTCTGTAGCATCAATTGGTGATATTTTAAGATGTCAAGCTGTCACCCTCTCTGTTGATGGCATCTCATGGGACAGGATGACTCACCAACAAACCTCCTTTAGTTTAAGCACCAATATATGAGTGGTGGTTCAAGAGAGGAAACAGGTAATAAAACAATAATAACTTAACCCTCTTCAGAGAGAAAAGGAGCACACTGTGCTTCCTAGGGAGTCTTTGAGTGTAAGTAGCAGACTACAGTCTATCAGTCTATCAGTCTCCAATAAGCTCTAACCCACTGCTCTTAGAGGCTTAGAGCTGTTATGAAGGTCAGATGTGACCTGTGAATCTGGTTTGTATGGTAGTGATGTAGTTAAGACCACACTAACCCAGACCAAGACATACCTGAGACAAGAGTGCTCTTGACAAGACCAAGACCTTTAGGGATCGAGACCGAGTCAAGACCAAGATCTTTAGGGATCGAGACCGAATCAAGACCAAGACCAAGACCTTTAGGGATCAAGAACGAGTCAAGACCAAGACCTTTAGGGATCGAGACCTAGTCAAGACCAAGACCAAAACCTTTAGGGATCGAGACCTAGTCAAGACCAAGACTTTTAGGGATCGAGACCGAGTCAAGACCAAGACTAAGACCCTTAGGGATCGAGACCAAGTCAAGACCAAGACCTTTAGGGATTGAGACCGAGTCAAGACCAAGACTAAGACCTTTGAGGATCGAGACCGAGTCAAGACCAAGAGTAAAACCTTTAGGGATCGAGACCTAGTCAAGACCAAGACCAAGACCTTTAGGGATCGAGACCGAGTCAAGACCAAGACTAAGACCTTAGGGATCGAGACCAAGTCAAGACCAAGACCTTTAGGGATTGAGACCAAGTCAAGACCAAGACTAAGACCTTTGAGGATCAAGACCGATTCAAGACCAAGACCAACACCTCTTAGGGATCAAGACCGAGTCAAGACCAAGAGTAAGACCTTTAGGGATCGAGACCGAATCAAGACCAAGACTAAGACCTTTAGGGATCGAGACCGAATCAAGACCAAGACTAAGACCTTTAGGGATCGAGACCAAGTCAAGACCAAGACCAAGACCAAGACCTTTAGGGATCGAGACCGAGTCAAGACCAAGACCTTTAGGGATTGAGACAGAGTCAAGACCAAGGCTAAGACCTTTTAAGAATCGAGACCGAGTCAAGACCAAGACCAAGACCTTTAGGGATCGAGACCGAGTCAAGACCAAGACCAACACCTTTAGGGATCGAGACCTAATCAAGACCAAGACCCAGACCTTTAGGGATCAAGACCGAGTCAAGACCAAGACCAACACCTTTAGGGCTCAAGATAGAGTCAAGACCAAGACTAAGTAACTGTAACACCGGGAAGGTTGCTGCCGTAACCGGGGGATAAAAATCAAACTACAAATGAATTGAAGTTATTTGTTCTTTTAGAAAGAGGCGTAAAAATAGCCGATCAATGGTGGTCTTGACCGGTCTTGACAGCACACAAATCCCTAAAGGACTGACGTTGAGATGCACTGGGTCTTCCTTAAAGTCAAAACTTCTTCTTTTTACTCTGACGAAGGCGGGTCCTTGGTTCCTGTCCGAGAGAAGGAGTCCACTGAGTTATGTTGAACTCAGGCTTCCATTTGTTGAGTGGATGAAGCGAAAGAGTTTCCTTTAATCTTGCTGGTTTTGGAAAAGACTGGGATCGTTACGGAGTCTCGATAAGGGTTTAAATTCTGGACAGATGTCTTCCATATCTAAAATATGAGATAAAAACTATAGACCAACACCCTATTGCTTTGTTTGACATTGCTGGTGGGGATGACCAACACCTGACATCTGCGTAGCACCGTGTGGTTGCCTTTGTTCTGCTCTTGGCTAGACGTTTAATCTTGCTTAAGTGGTAGGATGCTGCCTCGTCTACTCTTGGCCAATGGCTTCGGGATGTAAAGCCCTGTTTCCAACTGGAGATGCTGTCAGTGGCTCTGAGAAAAGTTTTTTTTAAGACCTGGGAACCTTGTTGTCCTACTTCCATGATACCCAAAGCTTGAAGTGTCTTTTGATTCGGCCCCTGACAAATCCTAGTCTTTGTGCCTCCGTAATTATCCAGAAACGTCTGTGAGATGATGGGTGGGGGGCGGGGTGGATGGTAGGGAAGGGCTATTGTACTACATGAGCTATTACTGCCACAGGATTCTGTTTATTTGTATTGCTCTGTGCCTTACTGTTTCCTGCCTGCCCAACGTCTCTTTTTATTTTCTTATTTTTTTATTGTTTGTTAAAGAAATATCTTTACAAAAATTAGCGACCTCCATCCCTCGCTGTCACTGCTGCCCTGTGCCTTCTTTTAGTTCCTGGGTAGGATCCATAAAAAAGCACTAAAAGCAGAACACATGACAGCTCCTTGATGAACAGCCTGGCTGCAGGAAAGGTCCCACAGGAGGTGTCCTTGGTGTTGACAGATGGGAGAGAGCAACAGAATCCAGTGTGTAGAACTGCGAATGTGCAGGGACTTCAGATAGCTTTGAACTAAAGGAGGTAAATCTGTGATTTTGGTCGATGAGATACTGAAAAAGGTTAAACAGTATGTCTGACTGCTAGTGCTTCAAGTTCTTCTTTTGGTTGAGTTAAAATAAACCGTTATTCTTGATTTGCCATTTTTGCTAGTCAAAACAAGGAGAGTAGTCCTCCTTCTTCTTTGGGAAGGAAGTGGTAAAGTCGTAAGGCCCGCCTATTGATTGATGTGATTGGTTGCCAGTGGCAAGAGTGACATTGACAAGCTGTGCGACTCTGTGCGACTCGGGCTGAAAAGCTGAGAGTATTTTTACTGTTACTGTATCTAAGAAACGCTAGAAAAACTGTGGCAAACATGTTCCCTCAGTCTTGGCAGACGAGGCTTACTGTGCTGGACTGCCTCTGAGTAGGTAGTGATTTCCAAAGAGTGAAGACCGGACTCACCCACAATGAGTCCAATTTCACAGAGAGGATCATCGAAGCCACAGGTCATCATGGTTCCCACCGTGTCATTGATCACAGCTAAAATGTCAATATTTAAGTCCTGCAAAGAGATAATAATGTATATATTAACACCATCACAGATATTAAAAAGGAGGATCGGGGACACACATTTGACGCCTGTTTTACAGCTATCATACATTGTTTCACCTGCACCTTAAAGGTCACATATTCTCCTCCTCTTCATCCAGTTTAAATAAGTCTCAGAGCTCCTCAAAACATGTCTGAAGTTTCTTGTTCTAAATCCACTCTGATCCTGTATTTGATCATGTCTATAAACCCCTCTATTTCAGCCCTGCAGGCTGTTTCTGTGTCTGTACCTTTAAATATGTAAATGAGCTGTGTCTGCCCACGCCCCCCTCTCTGGAAGGGCTTGGGTGTCTCTGTCTTTCTCGCTCCATGTCCTATTGTTTACAGTGAGAAGGCAGACTCAGAGGGCAGAACAAACACCTAGCTGTGGGAGTGTCACCCACCTGGGGGAGGGGTTACTGCCCTTTGTGATATCATGAAGGGAAAATCTCCAAACGGCCTGTTTGAGCACACATTTTCTGAAAAGTGGAGCAGGCACAAGACGGCGAGGATGGACTTTTCTCATCATTGGGGGGTTTGTAGACAGACTAGAGACACATTAGTGTTAGAGAAACATGGTGAAGTGGATTTTAGATAATATGGGATCTTTAAAGTTTTTCCATGTCTCTACTACAAACATGTACGCATGCTAAAACGAGGGAGATACACAATCTAGACTAACTTTGACCTTTACATTTGTCTCAACTAGGGGTGCCGAAATGCAAGGTTTTCTCTAATCGATTACTCTTCCCATTGTTAAAGCGAGTACTAGTAATCGTTTTGTAGTTCTTTTTTTTTCTGTGATTCTTTTCCCCCACGGGAGGCCCCGCCCCTAACTATGACGTGATGCCGACTGTTTCTATTGATTAATTTGAATCTTCGGGATTTTAATAATTGTTAGTAATAGGCCTTTGTATTAACGTTCAAATATGAAATATCGTACTTCAACAGACAGCAAATCTCAAATGAAAATTCACACAGGCGTATCTTATGACCGTTTTAACACTTATAATTAGAGCAGTGTGGCGAGCGGACGCGCAGACATAAATGCGCACTCATCGTATGTTGAAGCTGTTTTGACAGCAACATTGTGTTAACAAAGACTACAGTCTGCAGTGTAGAGCACACTTTACTCTGGTAAATCACAATAGAACAGGTGAACTGTTTCATCTTTCTCCTCTGTGCGTAATGACACACTCGCTCAATCTCACTCGTCCGTCCGCTATGAGCTCTGTCTCCCTATAAGGTTGTTCCATTTTGTAGTTATTAAAAGAATAATCATCTAAAATTCCAAAATATAGGAAAACATCTAGTTATGCTGCTCTGTCCTGGATGATCAAATGTTGTTTGCCGGAGTAAAGCGGTAATCGCGAAGTGAAAGTCCTTCTTTTTCTGTGGACTAAAAAGACAATTTGAACTGAACTTTCGTAGCTCATATTGCATATTTCATTTGTTTGGGACTTTTTGTTCATTGTGAATTCATGAAGGGGTAAATTAAAGGGATATTTTTGTTAGGGTAGCAGCGTACTGATCAACAACGGACGCGTTTCAGCACAGAGCCTTTATCAGCGATTTGTTTGTCATCTATTTTCTTTTTGCGCTCGTGCACCTGAAGTTTTATTTCTGTTTGAGTGTGCTCCTTTTTTTCTGTTTTGAATTAGGCCTATCCTAGAAGCCACAATGCAACAAGAAACATTTACAAAAATGTGGACTACAAAACGATTATCGATTAAATATTTTATGTAACCGATTATTATTTAATGAACGAGTACTCGTTTGCACCCCTAGTCTCAACACAAGCTGCAAAGCTTGCACTGGGTGAGGCTGAATCTCTTGTTTAATAGCGAGTTATTAGTTGAGGATTGTTGTTGTTGAGGATTTGAGCTCTATAATCCTGTTCAGACTGAATCCTTCTGAGTCACTTCTGTCCACCAACAGTGGCCAGCAAAATGCAAATAGGATGTCAGCCTCATCCATTGCTGTGTGAGCAGAGACAAAGGTGTTTGGATGCAAATGCATTTCCAAGAATGCAGCCTGTAGGCAGAGGGGGCCAATGTGATCCACAGAGAGTTACCCGATGTGGGCTGTAAACATTCAGCACTCGTCACAGTTCTCTGGATGCATGTTTGCTTTGGTAGGGGACTTTTGGAGAGGCGACGCAAATATATTTATGGGGCCATCACTTTCGAGGACTTTAGCCTCTTTACATTGGTCTCAGGACTCCATAAGTCCATTGGTGCTGCTCCGTGCTGCGCTCTGTAAACACAGCCTGTGGGTGTTTACAGACGAGGGAGAACGGAGCTGACACGCCATGCGTAGGAATCTAGTGGAAGTTCTGGGGAAATGTTTTATTCTAAGTTTGCTTTCTAATACACAACATTTTAGCTAACCTTTAATATATTCTATAAGGAGCTTTTAAGAAGAAGAAGATATACTTTATTAATCCCGCGAGAGGAAATTAAATTTTACACTCTGTTGTTGAACATGCAACACACAGAGGCTGAGATACACACACATGCACAAACAGGATCCTGTGGACATGCACTAATGGAGCGATATGAGTGAGGGGGATGCTCACAGCGAGCGGCCCTGAGCTGATTGGGTGGGTGCCTTGCTCAAGGACACCTCGGCAGTGCTCATGAAGTGAACTGGCACCTCTCCAGCTACCAGACCCATTTCCAGACTTGGTCCGCAGGGAGAGTTGAACCAGCGACTCTCTGGTTCCCAACCCTCGCGCCTACAGACTGAGCTACTGCTACTAGTCCGAGTCAGTACGATTCATTTTACTTTGTTGATTTTGAATTCAATCATAATTGTAATGCGGCGTCATATTCATTATGAAGCGTACGCAGGTTAAAGTTGTAAGTGATTTTTAAAAACCTTTGTAAATATTCTGCTGTGCTTTTACTTCATAACTTAAAGATATATCCACTGTGTTTATAAGCTTAGAAACCCCAAACATACATAACGTACCCCCACACTGTAAGTTGGACACTTACCCCTCGTTTTTTGATGGATCTCCTCAGAAGGCCGACCACATCTTTTCCCTCGACTCCGCCCGCCTTGAAAGCTTTGGTCCAAGACAGCAAAACGCTCTACAGGAAGCACGATAGAAACACAACAGACATTATTGACCTAAGAGACTTCCCAAATGTACACTCCTGAAAATATCTAGATCATTTCAGACCAACTAACAGATCCTTCACCCTCCTGACAAACAAAGCTGCATGTGTAAACCATGCGTGACTTTAACCGAAGCTTCTCCTGCCAGCCCTCCTGGTATTCCTTCTGCAGCGAGTCGGCGTGAGCTGATCTGAGAACGCAGCAGGGTATAATCAGGAGAATTCACCTCGAAGCGGTCCAGCAGGTTTTTGAGAAGCAGAAATAGGTTAAAGAGTATGGAGCTTATCAGAGGATGAAACAGCAAGCTGACAGATCTCTCTGATGAATGTTCAGAGGTCGTTGGGACAAGTGGTCCTTTTTACACAATATATTTGTTGTACACAGATGTATGGAATCTGTCTCATATCTACAATCTTTAGAATTTCAGGTTCCTGGAGCAAGGCAGGCCCAAAGCCCCTTGTGTTCTTTAATGCATGTAGCAAATGAGTAAGTATATCTTTGGGAGCCATCGTGTTGCAAGTCTTTGTGCATCATATCTAGTGCCAGGTATCCAGGCAGAGTCAACGAGGGACGGTTTAATACGCTCTTGAGAATTGCAGTATTCACAGGTTTTGCACACAGCTATCTTCAATTCAAAAACTGTCTCTCTGAATCGGCTCTGTTTGTGTGTACCTTTAAATCCACACTCCGAGTTAATATCCAATCTCTGAGATACAGTTGGGGGAAGCTGACAACACTGGTGTCAGATTACAGATGTGAGGAGAGGCAGCAGTATGAAGAAGCACTGCCATCTTTCAAATCAGTGCTGATGTGGAAGTTTCAGCGTTGAGCATAAAGATAAGGAAGAGAAACATGTCGCCTATTCAAATGTAAATCCTTGTCCATGCGCTGACGAAACTGTCAGTACTGTAATGTCTTCCTATCCGTCTTCATGGCACTAATTGGACACTAAAACATCAGGTAATGTGTAGAAATGGTATGTACTGAATTGTGGGTGTAGTGGTCAATCCTTAGAGTCAGCAAACCGTGTGACAGTTCTTACAGCTGCAAAGCACTTAAAAGGGACATGAAGTGGTGAGAAGACCTGGAAAGCACTAAATAGGTTCAAGCACAGTTAAGGCCACTGACAGATCAGTGGTTGCCGTCGCTGGCTGACAGATTGCATTTCAACAGTCTCCCAGGTCCTCGCCATAAGGCTCTAATTGCTAATTGGTGCACCCAGTGCAGGAGAATGAGATACTCATCAATTTTCACAGTGCCTTAAAGGGTTTCTAAGCCCCGGAGTTTCTGCTACCGTGACATTTCAATAAAAGGCCTTTGGAACATCAATGTATCACCATGGACGGGAGAGGGCGGGTTAAAGACACACCCACTCAGTCAGCTGCAACATCAAACAGCCTATGCGACACACACAAACGTGCACACATCAGCTGATTACGTTTAAGTTTTTTTTAAGTTTTTTTATTTAACCTTTATTTAACCAGGAAAAAGTCTCATTGAGATTAAAAATCTCTTTTACAACAGCGTCCTGGACAAGACAGGCAGCAGCACAATTACAGGGTTTGCAGATGTGGTTTGCAGTGGCCGACTTATCTCCTCCAGAGTCTCCTGTACGCAACGACCACGGCTGTGAGGTGCATGTGTGAACAGCCAGATCAGGAGGATTTCAGGAGCAGTCCTGCTGCAATGATCTAGATAGTTTCAGGAATGCAGATGTGAAAATGGCTTAAGAAAGGTGAAGGCACCAGTTGTATTGTTTGCCTGTTACTCTTTTTTTCATCGTTTGGACGAGGCTATAAAAAATAACCTTTCCATTATCTCTCCCCCCCACACACACTGTTTTGCCAATATGGATTTATAAGATAATGACATAACTGACTTCTGGTTAAAAAGGTTACTCACCTCATCCAACTTGGTCTGCTGACAGGGGAAAGAGAAGGTGAAGCCCAGAGGAAGCTTTTTGTCCTTTATGCCCAGTTTCTCCATGAAATCAGCCAGACAATCAGCGATGTGATCGAATAACTCCAGGAGAGACACAAGGGCGATTTATAATACATCTATATGTATGTGCATGCTGGGCGTCCTCTCCTTCTAAGGTCACAAAGTCCCTCAGCGGAGAGTGGCCACATTTTAAAGGTTCTGACACACCAAGCAGACATCACAGAAGTAGAGACGACAAAGGCCAACTGTGGCATCGCCTCACAACGCCTTTTTTCTTGGCCAAAAAGTCACACTTAAACACACCGCAAAGACAGCTGAAGGCCAATCACGTACGTTCTGCTCATGCGAGAGGAAATAACTCTCCATGCCAGCAGGGGGTGGTAGTCCGTTGTTATGATACGAGAAGACCATTGTCACCACTCATATTATAGGTAGTCTACTAATGGAGAATAATGTCTGATAAAAAGTGTAAGTCGTTTTCTCCCTCTAGTCACTTCTGTTTTTCTTCTCGTGATTCGCTTAGCTGAACAGCCAATCAGAATGATTTCTCTCACCAACCGGCAATTCAACTTGTTGGATCGGCTGAAAAAAGGCAGACCAACGGCTGACGATCTCCTTGGTGTGTCAGGGCCTTAAGACGGGGAAACGCCTCTTACCTCAGACCCATTGCCTCTCATGAGGTTTTCAGGAATAGCATAAATCTGATTTTCCATCTCCACTTCTTGCTTGTCGTTTGCACTGACTTTGACCAGCAGCACTCGGAAGTTAGATCCGCCGAGGTCAAGGGCCAGAAATTCACCTTGTTCTTAGAAGAAACAAAAAACACACACACACAACATACAATTTGACATATTAGTCATTCAGAAGAACTCAAAGTGAAACCAGAGTCAAACAATCAAATGATTCACATACAGGAAGTTAAGCTAGCAGTCTGTTGTTGATCTATATGTGCAACATACAAATACATTTGATAAATCTGTGAATTATTTTCTCAATTAATTGATTTAATGGAAAGGTGCAAAATGGGGTACTGCAGTCCAAATTCTAAACATTGTAGAGAACTGTCTCCCCCTGCCCCTCCTCCTCCCTATAGTCGATGCTCACACAGGTCACCATGTGGTGGACACTGAAGCTTCAGTGTTTAGTCAGCTCTGCATGGGTCTGTAAACCTTTCTGCGTTCTAAATCCAGAGCATTCAGGAGCAGAATCTAAAGTTAGAAGGAGGACATACTGGCTGCTGCATTGTTGTCAGAGAAGCCAGCACTTCACCATAGCATGTTTCATTAATGTTTGATCATATAGTAAGATACCTTTATCATTTCACTCACTACACATCTCACTGATTGGACCTTTAAGAAATGCTTAGAATTTGTAAGTGTCCAGTGAAAAGTCATCAAATGTCCTCCATCTTTCTCTTTGCTTTAAGGGATTATTTTTGCTGTGCTCATTACCGGCCCTATTTGGTTTGAATGTGTTTGTTTTCCTGATTGTTGTACCCTAAACGTACAGAAAGTTACCTGTTCCGTCAGGAGTTGAGAGCACAAATGTGGGCAGCATCTTCACAGCGGCTGCAGGGTTGGTGTCTCTGCACAGGCCTTTGTCCATCTCCCGTCGAAATCTCACAGACACATCCATGATTGTCTGATCCGACAGCTGAAGATGGGGCAGGTATCTGTCAACCTAAATTATTTGAAGAGAGGAGAAACAATAGCTATTGGGCCGAGGAAGGTTCAGCTGTATATTTACATAAAACATGGCCTGCAGACCGTCATTCTTTTGAAGGGTTTTTGATTTCTAGTGTTTATTGTCCCACCTAGATTGCACACCGTCTGTGAAGAGTAGTATGTTAATGGAAACAAACATGTGAAAGGTGTTGTGCGACCTGAAATGTACACAAAACAACAACTTTTTTTGTTTGCTTGAAAGCAGCTTTGTTTGTATTGCTGGCTGAAGATATTCTTAGTTTGAACAAAGCTGAATGTCGGGCTGCACTGAAGTCTGTTGTGTTAAAAGGCTGAGCATAAGAAAATAACCCAAATCTCCCAAACGAAGATCTTATTATCAACATAATGAAGCTCCACTGTCACACGAAGGTTAACATTTCACACTGAAATAAATAGAGCCACTGTATTGGTGTCCAGTGTGTGAAACAGTGTTACAGGATCTGAAGCAAAAGAGTCCTAATGTTGAAACAAACTGCATAAACTTCACATATACACACACAAACAGTTGTCACATACATGACTGATTTTTACACAGTCTTTGTTTCGTTTCTGCTAGCCTCTTTTACAACGTAAACTGGCCTACCATTTGTCCTCCATTCAATTAAAAAAACGTTAATGTCTCCAGGGGGCAATTCAAAGGCACATATAGCAACAAGAGAGTGCAGAGAAGAATACATTTAAATACTTTATACCTCAAACACAGATGAGGAGGAGAAACAAGAGGCACATCAGTCATATCGTAAACAGGCTGTATTTAAGGGTCCAATGATTTCCTTGTGCTCAGCCTATATTTTTAGGTTGAATTGTGGGGCTAATAGCGGAGCCTGGGTCTGTTGAAGTTGACAATGCTGTTTGGGCTGTGATGGCATTGTGGTAGGGTAGGCAACATATAGAAGTTCAATCAATCATTATTTGTAAAGCACCAATTCATAACAATTGTTCCTGGGCTTCTTACCCACTGACACAGTGAATGAGTGGGTGTGGTAGGCGGTGAGAGCCGGCATGGAGGGGGTTGTCTCTTGGACTCTGGAGCTCACTGTCCAGCCTTACAGAGTTGTCATGGGACTAATCAGATGAAACACTGGTGAAGGGAGGTTCCCACTTGACTACCCCGGTGATGTCCTGGTTCCAGCTGCCCTTTGGCCAACACGGTTAAGTTGTGGGGGGCCAAGAGGGGCCATATGGTAGGGTAGGTAGTATCTGTGTTGTCACTACAGTCAACACAGCCAACAGGTCTGTTGAAGGTTTTAATGTTGTTATGGTTGCCATGGCAACTTAGGGCCATAGGGTAGATAATGTAACTTATCAGTATTACATAGAGGCATGACTGGGATGAGGGATGTATTCACTGAGCACTTATCCTTTCATTCGGGCACTTGTACCTCATGTTTATCTCAAATACACAACCACTCACCACAGCACCTAAGTGGCAAATTTTCTCCGTCCCCAGCTGTTGTGTTTTCTCTATATGCAACGCTATCAGACCTGAACGGGCTTTCATAACTACCCTAATTACAGTAAATACGATATTTCCAAGAAGCACATGGCGGCAGCATGTGTTACAGGTGTCACCTTTAATCCAACAGTGTGGGAAGGGTTTCAATGCAACACATTGCACACATTGTCTTTGACTCTTTACACTAAATAACAAAAGGTTGAGGACCAGAGGCACACACTCAACTGTACGACAATCTGTACCGATGGATGGTAACATGCTGTGAGTGGATCCAAGCCGGAAATCTCTCAGTAAAGATGCTGAGGAGCCTCTGCAGGTCAAGACAAAGAAACACAGAGGGCTGACCCAATATTCACATACTCCTTGCGCACCAGGTTTGTCTGCAATACGCCGCCGTTTGCTCCCCCTCTAGTCAATGATTGTTTCCATAGCAAGCGCCATGGTTTATCTCTGGACTGTGCCAGCAGCGCCACTACGCTCTGCTTCATTTCAAATATACGCTATTTTCGACGGAGCTCACTGCAAGCGAGCATCAAGCTGAACAGAATAGAACGACCCAGGCAGGAAGTCAGAAAACGAAATGCAGAGAGCGTCTGGGCAACTTCAAACGGAGCAAAACCGCCATGCTAACAAACTGCGGCGGGGAACGGAGGATGTGGAAATTAGGAGTTAGCAATGCCCAATCAATGACTGAAATGTTTTGTATAAAACAGGAAGTAGGCAAAGGGTAGAGTGAGTGAAGGAAACAAAATACAGGCTTGGCGATAACCAAAGGAACATGGGCAAAAGACTTCATGTACATTTTTTGTAGAGAAAAGCCAGCATTTCTTTATCACCCATGTAAGGGGCACAGCTATCTGTAGCACAGGTATGCTGAAAAAACATTAAGATGGACGGCCTTATGTTTTGAAAGACAGAATTCTGATAACATCATGTATGGGCGAGAATGTCGAGGGAGAAAACGAAAATCCATAATTCCTACAACCCCCGATAAAAAAGAAAGACAGAGAGGAACGAAAAGCTCCTGCAGATACAAACAGAGAGACACACATGTTTAAGAGCTCCTTTCAACAATTATTCAAAACACAACCAACAGGAAAGTGTAGAACCACAGAGCATGATACGATCCCTCAGTGCAAATCAGAGGATTTACATAATGAGATGCACAAAAATCCCAACTAAAAACGAAGCAAAGAGAGAATGTAGCCATGGCATTGTGACACTGAGAGCATTTCAATCACCAATGTATATATTATTAATGCACCACTATCTCCTCCTTATAAAACAAACTAACAAGCTCTGTTTCTGCAGGAAAAGCTACTGCCTTAAGACAGAGAGGAAAATAGATGCAGGACGTCTGGATTAAAACGCCATGTCTCACTGCTCGTGTCGCGTGCTGTTAGGACAGAATCGTCGTCGTTGAGACAAATGAGAAAATTGACAAAAATCTCCTTTAAGTCCTTATGAGCTCATTGGTGGCATAAGCTTGAAAGGAGACACAAATAATATATTTTTGGGCCTGCAGGACATGAGAAAAATATGCAATGTGCGATACTAAATGGGGATGCAAAAATAGGAGTTGCGATTAAAATACAAAAATAAAGAGTGCATTTTAGCATCACCGTTTCTGTCTGTCTGCTGTTCTTTATGTTTTATAGAACACAGTCCATGTTTGTAACATGGCCCTACTAAATCCAAAATAATTCCAAAAAACTGTGTTTTTCTCCACTAAATTGGCACTTATTAGTCTGAGAGTAGCTGATAGCTGCTTTAGGGCGCACTCACACTAGGCAATACGTACCACTCTTCACCCCTAAAGTCCAGTTTGTTTGACTAGTGCGAGTGCTGCATACCCTGCTCCTTGGCCCTGGCACGCTTGGAGGAGATGCCAGGGCCGTTTTTCAACACAGACGTTGCCGCTTGCTTTTTTTTTTAAAAGGGACATATTATAGAAAATCCACTTTTACAGTGTTTTTGAACATATATTTGGGTAGTGTCTAGTGGAGTGTCTACTGACCCCAAAAATGTAAAATAAACCATTCCAGTCTTTTGTTTGTGGTCTGCATAAGTCTTACAAAACAAAAAAGTCTTACAACACAAAAATGCTCTGTTTCTAATGTTCTCTCCTTGTGATGTCACAGTGGGATTCTGGTTAAAAAAAATCCCCTCCCCTCCCCTGGTATCTCCACCCATGGACTCCACCCCCAGGCTAGAACAAATCTTTTGAGCAGGTCTGCCATTTTTATTCTCTCTCCAGAGGATTGATGTCTATGGGGAAAACTCAGGGGGGTCATTACATTTAAAGAAACACACACACCAAAACAGAGCGTTCTGAGAGAGCTGGTTTATACAGGGTCACAAACCTCGTCTGGTGCTTGATTCATGTTATATTTTGACCAAACCACAGATGTTTCATTTAGACCACAGGAGACTGTTTGAAAAGGGGGAGGAGGGGGATAAGATGTCCTCTTTAAGAAAGCTCATATCTAGATAATTGCCAGGCCCTAAATCTTGTCCTACTTGTTACTTTGCTCTGAGCAGTACTCCTCCTCCTCCTCCTCCTCCTCCTCCTCAAAACAGGCTTTACACATGCAGACACTGAATGAGACGCTGGCCCATTCATGATCATACCTAAGAGCACAAACCACACAGGTTACATTATTAATGACAGTAAACCATAGACTGTAAACATGACAGTAAACAGAGACATAATGACGTCACGGCGCTGTAACATGCTAGGTAGGAGTGGTGCTACGTGCCTGACCCCTATTTCCCCTTTCTTATAAGTTCATTGAGAAACACACACAAATGTCCCGTCTGAAAACGTCCCCATACAAGTTTGAGGCATCACTTTTTAAACTCTGATACTCACTTTAAGCGCCTCCTCGTCGTGCTGCTCCGCGCAGTAGTTAGCCATTAAACTCGACGCTAACATCTTAAAGTTAGTGATGACGTCCTGTTCGTACTAACTCAACGTTTCACTACAGTAACAACTTATCACAATAATGAAACCACCACAATTCAAACACCGCGACGTTTGAGCTCCTAAACACTTAAGAAAGTAAACTAAGAAGTTAAAAACAAAGTCGCACCACCAAGTCACTTCCAGCTTCCGGGAGTTGGTTGTTCTGTGACGTCAATCTGAACTGACAGCGCTGATTGGCTTCAGAGAAGGCGCGGTAACATGATAGAGGCCATGCATGTCATACAAAATAAAAAGGACGAAGCCTTCACCTGGAGGAGTTTTTATTTAATGATCATCTTAAACACAACAGACTCTATTGTAACTGGTTTCATGATCACATTAATTTATTTTATCGTACATGTGAAGGTTCATACTACAGAGTAGCTGCTCTGTGGTTACCATGGACATCAACAGGAGAATAGAATGTTTTGGTTGCCTAGCAACAGTCTAGTTTCAGTTAAGCTGAGAAACTAGTTGAGTTGGTGGAGTTAAAAACTAACCTGTCATTGATATTTACTTTATAGCCTATCACTATTTTCTGCTTGTTGTATTAAAGTAATTCAAGTAAATAAAGTAGTATTGTAAATTTCCCCATTGTGGGATAAATAAAGGATTATCTTATCTTATATGACACTGGAGGTGGAGATGTTGCTCTGGATATCAGATCTGCTGTCATTATCTTCAGACCCAATCACAGCAGTTCTGATATTCAGGATACAATCTCCTAGGGTGGCTGCCTTTCTGGTTGGAGAGGTGTGCCATGTCAGAGGGCAGAGCTCTGCATAATCAAGGGCACAAGGCAGACAGCAGACATGAGGAGAGGAGCTGAGATGAAGCCTGCAGTATAGCAGCTGAATACATTATAGGCTGCTGAATGTCAACTACTCCCTATGTGGTCTTAACATTCACCCCGCGACGCCCTCCCCTGGCTTGCTGCTTCCCTAGACGTCATCGTTTTTGACCCCACTTGACTATCCCCAACTTGGCCATAGTTGATCACCAGAATGCAGTGGTGTGATTTTGTTGTGTTGGCACAGGAGGAATATCTTTTTTTGAAGAGAATATAGGCCTACATATGTTCAGAAATGAAAAGAGCAATCAGAGAAAAAGCAGACTTTTTATTTTTCTACACATGCATGCCACGATACCTGACCTTGAGAAATGAGAAATGAATGGAAGAAGTGGCTCTATGTGACCTTTATGAGCCCACCACAACATTGGAGAGTTATTGTTGTTATGACACTTCTCATTACTGAAGTTATAGTTGTGCTCTCTGCTGCTCAAACAAAATAAATAATTCTGAAGGTGTGTGTGTGTGCTAAGTATGTCTCCCTTTCCCAAGATCTGCCTCTGTCTCGTTATTGTTTTTAATCATTATATTAATGTGTAAATCACATCCTTAGCATCGTCCTGCAGATGTTAAAGGATCTCAGCCTCCTCAGGAAGTAGAGCCCTTCTTGAAGACAGCCTCCTTGTTCTTAGACCAGTCCAGTTTATAAGTACACTCCCAGGTACTTATATTCCTCCACACTGTCCACATCAGCCTCCTGGATCCACTACCAGTTCCTTGGTCATTCAGCCTCCTCACCCTTGCTGCTACACAGAGGCACTGCCTGTCAACCATAGACTGTAAAAGTGTCAACAGGCAAGGCATGCAACTGCTCGAGGCCCCAGGCCACTAGGGGGCCCCCAAGGCCAGATAAAGTTTAGAGCATGTTTGCAATGACAGTAGGATACCTCCCTAAGGGGGCCTCATCTGACAGCACTTACTCATGTAATAGTAAATAGTAAATAATGCTCATTTAGGCCTAAAATATGAGGGAGAGACATTTAAATTACATAGCTTCCACTAAAAATAATGTGTTGGTGTCAGATTATTTTTAACATAATGGGGACGAACGCTGTTTTGGGGCCCCGGGCGTGTTATTGCCAACTCCAGAATCGCCACTGCTGATACAGTCAACTACAGCGGAGTTGTCAGAAAACTTCTGAAGATGGCAGGACTCGGTGTTGTAGTTGAACTCCGTGGTGTAGAGGGTGAAGAGGAAGGGAGACAGGACCGTCCCCTGTGGGACCCCAGTGTTGCTGACCACTCTGTCTGACTCACAGTGTTGTAAGTGCAAATACTGAAGTCTGCCAGTCAAGTAGTCCACAATCCAGTTGAAAGTGCTGGAAACATGAGCCTCACAGTGCTGTCCAGTGTGTCCAGGGCCCTTTCCGAATAGCCACAGTTCAGTATGCAGTACGTACTATTCAGTATGGAGTTTCAGTGTACTGAACTTTCATGGTCATTCAGTATGCATTTTTTGGGTCCGCGCAGTATACTGAACATTTCAGTATACTGAACATTTCACTATGGATACTAACTTCTAACTACCGATACTAACTACCGATGGGTTAGGGTATGGATCGGATGCGTGCTTTCAGGAAATGAATTGTATTTTACCACCCACAATGCTGTGCGAAATTAAACGTAAATCGGCAGGTCACGTGCGCCTCCAAATCAAAACAAACGAGCGTGGATTCATTTAATCAATTTTTAATCTAGAGTTAAAGTCCCGTCTGAAATCGCTACTTTAAATTAACAACAGAAAATATAACAAATGTCTGCATTATTATAAACCTTTCCCCCTCTATTTGAATAATGATTTAACTATTTAAATGCGTCTTTATTGGTTTATTTTATATTCTGTATATTACTGTCTTTCATTTGTACTTTTCTTTATGTACTGTATGTGATTTAGTTATTCAATCTGTCTTTTACTTGATTTACATTGTGATATTGTTTTGTTTACCTGACTGTATATGTGCATTACTCTTCTTGAATAAAGCTAATCAAAAAAAAAACGGGTGGATGCGGCCGGTCCGGGAAACGTAAATTAACGTCACTTCCATACTGAATGAATCAGAAGAAGTAGGAACAAATATCTGCCTACTGTGCGTGCATACTGAATAGTAGGTACTAACAGTACTGCCTACTGAAAGATTGAGTATGTACTTGGCAATTCGGATACGGCCCAGGTGTGAGTAGCCTCAGCTCAGCAGAAAGGTGCTGGCATCCTTGACTCCAAGTCGAGGCTGGTAGGTGAACTGGAGAGGATCCAAGAGGGGCATGACCATTGGTCGGAGCTGATCCAGGACGAGTCCCTCAAAGGTTTTCATGATGTTCAACGTCATTAGGGTGCCACCGGTCTGTAGTCCTTGGGGCGCGGCGTCTTCGGCATAGGAACAAAGGCAGGACGTCCACAGCACAGGGACCCTCAGAAAACTCAAGCTGAAGACATGGTGAAGTACTCCACAGAGCTGGGGGGAAAGGCTTAGGGCTGACGCCGTCAGGGCCCATCAGAGTCTCATCTTAACATGGTCAGCTATGAAGGGGCATGGTGGAGATGACAGGAGGGGTGGGAGTGGAGTTGTTCGCTAAGAGAGGGCACTCAGCCTTGGAGCCAGAGGAGGTGGGGTAAGAAGGACCCTCACCTGACCATCGTTGGCACTTTATTTTTCCCTCTCAGATCATATTGGACACAATATCTTCTGATTCATTTGTCAGGAAGTGGTTCATGTAGGTTCAGGCTCAAGAGGGCCAAGGCCTGCGTCATCGATGCTTCATGTCCTTATTAGAAGATACACGCTGTTCTCCTGTTTTTCAAAGTTTTGCAAAGCACTTTGTCCAGCGGAGATAAAAAACTTTACTGTAAAGCAGAGACCCACTGAGCAGATCAATCATAAATATAAGGAAGCTTAGAAAAGACCGGCATATATTTCAGAATGTGTTTGTTTACTAAACAGCAAAGGTCTAACACATAAAGAGAAAACAAATATACCATTTGATGGGATGTACAGCAGGATGCTGTTTGGTGTGTGAGTAAAGGGGGGATGGGACGTGGACAGGTGGCGGGGTGGCTGAATTGATGATCCAGAGTCTGGTGAGCTTAAAGGCCCTGACACACCAAGCAGACGGCATAAATAAACTGTTGTTATGATACAAGAAGACCATTTTCACACCACTGTCGGTCACCACTCGTATTAGAGGTAGTCTACTAATAGAGAATAATGTCTGATAAAAAGTTGAAAATGGAGCTGGTGTTGTCAGTCCTTGGTCTTTTAGTGGAAAAAGAAAAGAAGAGGAGGAGGAGACAATAAGGAGAAACCACACTAATGGATGAAAGCATGGATACTACAGAGACATGCTCAAGGGGCTTTCCTGAACCTGACAGGAGAGCTGGAGTAATTGCGTTCCAGTTGCAATTTGGAAAGGGACATGGAAAACATGGACGCCTCCAGGAATACCTTTGCTCACTGACAGCCTTGGTGTCAGGGCCTGAAGGGGGCATGTTGGTGATCCTGAGCAGGAAGAGAAACAGAATAGTACACTGTCTGGACATGAGGAAATAATCTTTATTAAAGGATTTATATGCAATTTTTTGATCCAGCTGATGTCACCCTTGAGCACCAGTATGAAACCAAAACAACTCGCGCTGCATTGTTGTGTTAGCGTGCTAAAGCCCAATTCACACATACTCCGTGCGCACCGCGGTCCGTCAGCGCCGTGCACTACGTTGTACTTAGCTGTCACTCTAGTGAATCATTGTGTTCACACAGTCTCCAGAGCGTGCCACCGACGGCACTGCGCTCTGCTCCGTTTCAAATACGCAGCGAGTCTGTTTTCGCCGGAGTACGCTGCAGGCACACTTAAAGCTGGACAGAATATGACAATTTCAAAATGAAACACAATATACGGACTCACGATCGTATTTTTCATCATTTTATCAACATTACATCAAAACAGGAACCAAATTAACAACAATGCATCCTCAGAAAGATAAAGCAACATGTTGTTTGCATGTTTTTCTCTTTATTCCCTCTTGTAGTTCTCCTCTGATGTGTCATGGGTGTGCTCCACTGCGCTGACGTCCCAGAAACGGATCCAGTGTGAATGGGCGCGAGAGTCCGACGGAGCAAAACCGTGGCGCTGACGGACCGCGGCGCGCACAGAGTATGTGTGAATTGCAGGTAATGCTATCGATCTTTATTATGCTCGTATCTTCACACTGCGTGTAAATTTACCTGAAATGAGCGTGATCTAGAAACACAGTTAAGCAGTGAGTACAGTATGTTATTCTTCTTTTCTCTAGTCCCTCAATTAAACAACTTTTATACACGAGGGGAGGAGTCAGCCGGCCATCCTGGCGATGTAAACAAAGTGAAGATAGGACTCTGAAAACTCTGAAAACATCACAGACAGTGGGACTCGGGTGTTACACCCATTGTAGACAGTCATGACTCACAGAGTTATTTTCAGAGGATATACTTGATTTCTATTATATTTAAAGGTGAAAAATCACATATTCTGCCTTTAAAGCACAAGAAATACAAGCTGGCCTTAACGCTGTACCGCAGAAGTAGACCGAATGACCTTAATAATGATAATGATGAATAATAATAATAGCTTGGATTCATAAAGAGCCTTTCAAGAAACTCAAGGACACTTAACAATAGCACAAAACGGGGGGCCGTAATAGGAGACAACAAGAGAGAAAATAGCACAAAACAAACAAATGAAGGAAAAAGAAGTGGGTGTTGGGGGGGAGTGTTAACTGAGGCCGAATGCTTTGAGGGGTAGGTGGTGTTTGAGGAGATTTTTGAAGATGTCCAGAGATGCAGCAGTGCAGAGAACTGGGGGTATACATGCACTGCAGGCTGAAGACTTGACGAGCAGTAACTGGGAACCAGTGGAGGGAGATGAACAGCGGAGTGACATGTTCTCTTTTAGGAAGGTTGAAGACGAGTCGTGCTGCTGCGTTCTGGATCGTCTGCTGGGGTTTGATAGTGCATTTAGGAAGAGCTGCCAGTAAGGTGTTAAAATAGTCCATGTGATATCATAAGAACCTGTACCAGGAGCAGTGTATCATGCTCTGACAGATCACTGAAAACAAACCGTCAACCATCAGAGAGAAGATAAAATATGATCCAAAAATAACCTTAAATGTCAACTGTAATGCTGTTATCTGCTCTGAGCACATTCAGTGTTATCAAGCTCTGAAGTCCTCGTTCCACAGAGTCTTATCTCCCTGACGGACACAGACTCACCTGCTGGTCTCGCCTAAGCAAAATGGATTCTGAAAAAGGGGTGATGGTTCAAGGATGAAATCTGAAAGAAATGGGTGAAGCGGAGAAGCAGCGATAGCAGTGATAGCAGAAAAGAAGAGTGATTGCATAAGACTGTCATGCTAGTTTCTAATCTGAACATCATCATGACAAACAGAACCTCCATCCCTCTAACAAATTATGGATGAGCAAATCAAAAGAATCAGGTAAAGTAAGAAGTAAAGAAGAAACCTTAAAAACAGAAACATGACGTGTGGTTTCTGTTTAAAGACGTGCAGAGCCAAAAATCATAAATGTTAAGAGTTGAATAATTCACACATGATTACAGTCAGGGTTACACTTCTTCTGGTTTGTCTTTTGGAGTAGTATGCTCTCTTGGGTGATTTCAGGTTGTCATCATCGGATTTAAACTACATACTGGAGTTTCTCCGATCACACCAACTGCTGCTGCGGTGCAAAGATGACCTGCCCTCTTGAATCATTCAAAGTGATGGAATCAGCCTGAAGAAGAACGTGTTTACAAGTTAAAGGAGATCTCTTCTGCTCATCCATATCTAAATAAAAACACATCATTTTAAGATGTTGGACAAGATGCTGGTGTAACCCTCAGACGTGGTTTCCTGGTTACGAGAACTTTGTGAGACTTGCACCAAACCAGACGTCAGGTTCTACCGACATATTTTTGCCAATTTCCACATTTGTACACACTGTGGTCCATCAGCGCCGCTCCATTCAATGCTCCTGTTTCCTCCTCTCACTCTCCTCTTCTCTCTCTCCTTTTTTCTCCTCCTTCTCCTCCTCTCAATCCTACTTTCACTCTCCCTTCTCTCTCCCTTTTCCTCCTCTTCCTCTTTCCTCCTGTCTCTCCTCCTTCACATCCTTTCTCCTGTTTCCTCCTCTCACTCTCCTCTTCTCTCTCTCCTTTTTTCTCCTCCTTCTCCTCCTCTCAATCCTCCTTTCACTCTCCTTTCTCTCTCCCTTTTCCTCCTTTCCTTTCTCCTCCTGTCTCTCCTCCTTCACATCCTCTCTCTCATTGTTTCATTCTTGTCATCCTCCTTTCCTTTCTCCTCCTGTCTCTCTCCTCCTTCACCTCCTTTCTCCCTTTTCCTCCTCTCCACTCTCCTCCTCCTTTCACTCTCCCCTTCCTCTCTCCTGTAATAGATTCATGTCAGTTTGTTCCACATACTTGATTTCTGACAAGTGACAACATGTTCGCCTTTCACCTTTTTCCTTCCATTTCATTCTAAAATCACACATCTGCCAAGAGCCACAAAAAATGTTTATAAAAAATCATGTGTACCAAATGCAATAACATTATTAAATTCATAATTGAACCATGCTGACTGTGGTGTTGTCGAGGACTACAGGCGCTCTCCTGGTTTCCTGCTGTGCTTGAATATTGTCTTGTTTGTCATCATGTTTCTTCTGTCTAGTTCTTGTGAAGCCAAAGACAGTGTTCCACTTTGTGGACAAGTAAAGTTCTATCCTATTCTATCTGTTTTATTGTTTCTTTTATTTTAAAATGGTTAAAACAGCTTCCACTACCAGGCCATTCTTTCCAGGACTGATGGCTAATAAGGCAGAGATTGATGAGATGACTCCGGATAGGCTGATGGTGTGTGTGTGTGTGTGTGTGTGTGTGTGTGTGTGTGTGTGTGTGTGTGTGTGTGTGTGTGTGTGTGACACCTGAACGCACCTCGGGGTCAGGCTCCTAATGAGACACACTCGGCACAGGTGTGTGTGTGTGTGTGTGTGTGTGTGTGTGTGTGTGTGTGTGTGTGTGTGTGTGTGTGTGTGTGTTCGCTCCGCGGTCCTCTTTTTGTGTACATGACGACATGCCCTGTGTAGGCTTCAGATAAACATGTAACTTATATGTGTGTAAGGCTTCACTCGTTAAAGAAATGAAGGTACCGGAGGAGGAACTCATGAGCGACATTTTGAAGCGGCTGACAGGTGAGTCTGCTCTACCTGTGTACAGCAACATCGAGAAGTTCAAACGAGGGAAGGACGGCTGCTACTTTGTCGCCGAAGACTTTCATGAAACCGTGAAAAAGCGAGAATTGGTCAACGCCAAGGAGAGACTAAGAGTGAGTGTGTGTTGGAAACGACTTTTTTTTTATCCACTAATGGTTCAGTTCTGTTTAATGCTTTGCTAACATCTGTTGTAGGCTTATTGGTCCCTTTTAGTGCATGTCATAACTGTAGCTGTGAATGCCAGTGGACTACAGAGACTAAAAACATGTTTGTAAGGAAGGGTTGTCCATCAGTCCTGTTAGAAATAAAGGATTTTTATTTTTAATTTAACCAGGAAACTCGGTGAGATTAGAAAATATATATTTTTCAAGAGGGTCCTGGTCCAGACAGTTAGCATTAGAAATTTTTAAGATTTATTTGTGTGCTTTCTGGACCGTTAATGTAGATAAGGATTAGAGAGAGAGTGGGAAAGGTCGGATTCGAACCTGGGTAGGACCACAACCTCCATACAGGAGAAGAGCGAACCAACCAATAGGCCACCGATGCCCCAGGGCAGCAGCACAATTTCTGAAGTTTCAGAGAAACAACGAGCAGCAAATACAAATACAATAAAATACATGATTAGACATGAAAATACAAAAATAATAAATCTAAACTGAAAATATTTTGTCAAGATCATCCACAAACACATCTGGGAGAACATCTACAGCCAGATGTGTCTGCCTCCAAGTCATTTAACATCCTCCAATGAGAGCGCAGATGAGCCGGCCCTAAACCCCTTAGTGCCCCCCAGGCAAGATTTTAGCTGGAGCCCTTCATATTGCAAAGAAGCAACAACCTCCGGGGTTGAAAAATGAAGCCGGTGTGGAAGTGTAAAATCCTGCAGTTCATCGAGTGTCCACTAGAGAGGCTGGCTCCAGGAACACAGGAAGTCACAGACACACACCAGGGGAAAAAAGCCTGTTTTTAAATAAACATGTTTACAGCCTGGTTCAAAAAAACAAATAGGCCTGATTAGTTATTTTCATCACTGGCATACACTGTACAGTTAAACGGCTTCATTTTTGATTTTATAAACGATAAGTGTTATCCAAAGTTAGTCGCGTAGCTGACCTGATTGACAGGTGGGCGGGGTGTAACGGTTTGTCAGGAGGTTTAAAACCCGCTCCAGCTCTCAGCCTGTTGTTAGGTTGACTGAAAGTTAGGGTGCGTTCCAATTGTCATTTTTGCTTAGGAAGGTTCCTAACTGAGTGAAATGACCTGGAAGCATTTAAGTGGCGGCCATGATAAGAGCCGTTCGAATTCTCTAAAAGCTAAGGAAAGGTGGGTCAATGCTTCCTTTATAACCTCCTTTAGCATAGGATACACTGGACCATCCTTTACCAAAAGAGATGAGATATGCTGCCCCACAATTCCTTGCAGCCGCAACATTTAAAGGTCCCATATTCTGCTTTTTCTGGTTTTATATGCTCTTTAGTGTGTTTTCCAAGTGTCCTGTGCATGTTTAGGTACATCTATTTGCAAAAATTCAAAGTCTGCAGAAACGCGGCTTCTCCTACCTCCTCCTGTTAGCTGTAGCATTAGCCACATGTAACGCTCGGTTCTAGCCCCCCTCGATACAAATTGTCAGTCTGACGTCATTGTCAGTGAGATCACTGATCTAAGCCCATTGGCTCGTTGTGGCAAGCCCTGCAGCTCATGTTGAAAATCCGAGAAGCGTGCTGAGAAACTGACCAATAACGACAGAGTGGATCGGCAGACCAATCAGAGCAGACTTGGCCCACGTGGGGTCTAACAGTGTGGGCTCAACAGAGTGTAGCTGACGGACTCAGAGCGTAGAGGGAGCAAGGAGGAGCAGTACATGAAAACAGACACTTCTTTCAAACTTTAGCTATTGTGAACATACAAAAGTAGTTACATAGATTAAATATACGAACCCCAAAAAGGCATAATATGGGATCTTTAAAGGTCCCATATCATGCTTTTTCTGGTTTAATATACTCTTTAGTGTGTTTTCCATGTATCCTGTGCATGTTTAGGTACATCTATGTGCAAAAATTCAAAGTCCGCGGAAACGCGACTTCTCCTACGTCCTCCTGTTAGCTGTAGCATTAGCCACATGTAACGCTCGGTTCTAGCCCCCTTGATAAAAATGTGTCAGTCCGACGTCATTGTCAGTGTGAGATCACTGATCTAAGCCCATTGGCTCGTTGTGGTAAGCCCAGCAGCTCATGTTGCACGCTCGTTAACTTCTGTAGCACGCCCACGATATGCTGTAGCCTGCGGTAGCACAGTAGTGCTAAGGTGCTAATGTTTATGCTCCCCTCGGACGGAGCCTGTGGCTGCATTCCCAATATGGTAAAAGAGGCGGGACATTTCCGAGAACCGTGCTGAGCGACTGACCAATTACGGCAGAGCCGTCAGGCTGACCAATCAGATCAGACTTGGCCCACGTGGGGACTCTGAACGTGGGCACTTCAGAGCCTTAGGGAGAGAGTCAGAAGCGAGCCGGTGCATGGAGCGGCAGGACATGAAAACAGACACTTTTTTAGAACTTTAGTTATTGTGAACATACTTTAGTAGGTACATGGATTAAATATATGAACCCCAAAAAGGGCATAATATGACCTCTTTAAAGCGAGTCACGCATGAACGATGAACGTAAAATGTTACATCGTAAAAATGTTGATTTCTGATTGGACAGGAAGCTGATGGTTTCACTTTTGTTACTTGTAGCCTGGTGGTCTATATTTCTTTTATTTCAATCCCAACCTTGTGGTAATTAAGGTTATTTTATTTCACCGGCAAGAAGGCACAGGGGAAAGTTTTTTAGATGATCTTTTAGTAGTCCATTTTCTGAACATTGTAGTTTCAACACGGCAGACCCACGTCATTAACCTCCGCCGGCCCGTCGCATTTAATGACGTCTCCTAGTGGAAAATGTGGTTGGATTGTCAGAGCAACGAGATCGCCTTTCCCTAAGTCAGATTAGATTTTGATTTAGATTTGCTGCTTCTTTCATGCCCTGATGTTTTATATATACATGCATCTTCTCAGTGCTTAAAATCTTTGGATATTGTAAATCATGGTGTGCTGATGTTCATAACAAATCTTAGCACCCTGACTCATCGCTGTACTCTGTATGATCCAGTCAGCTGGCCTGCACTGTCTATGCATAGACAAACGTATTGGCATGTCCTTTATGTTTATGAATCTACTTGTGTGACTGTTTTCATGTTAAAAGGCGCTGGAAGCTTCAGTCTTCAGCTCTGCAACCCAGTCACAAAATGTATCGCTGTTATCTTGTTCCCAAAGTGTGTCTTGAAATGGGGAAGATGAGTTTGAGGAACGCTGTTCCTGCAGGATGATCTGTGTCTGAGCTGCTCTCTTGAAACCTTCTGAAAAGTAGTTTGAAGGTGTTGGAGGAAGATGCTTCAGGTTGTAGATGCTTTGAATAATGACTTCTCTGCTCTGAGACTCAGGACATGTTGATCTGGTTTTATGTCTGTCACTAGTTTATTGTGCTGCTTCCTGTCTCAGTACTCTCTTTAAATTATATTCTTTGACCTTTCTTACACACTGAAAACTCTCCTTACCAAAATAGCGCTCTCACTATGGTGACAGGAAGAGGCGCCTGAATGGACAACTTCGTAAAACAAAATGGTCGTTGCAGAGGAATTGGCGAGATCTTATTAGCATGTCATTTTTGACTTTGCAAACTCATGACGGCCGTAACTCGTTCATGTGGACGAAGATGTTTTTGAGAACTGAGCGTGTGTGGACAAGAGGAGGAGAAAAAAACTCAGTTTAAAAGAATACGAGGCGCTGGTGGCGCGTGCACCATAGGCTGTAGTCCTCCAATCGGGTGGCCCAGGTTCGAATCCAGCCTGTGGCTCCTTTCCTGCATGTCATTCCCCTCTCTCCCCCTCTCTCTCTCTCTCCCTGATTTCTAGCTCTATCCACTGTCCTGTCTCTCAATTAAAGGCACAAAAAGCCGGAAAATAAATCTTAAAAAAAAAAGTCCGCCTACGTGTGGACCAGGCTTCTATCTCGATGTTTAAAAAAAATATATATATATATATATATATATATGTGTATATATATCACTTGCTTGGCTTGAATCATGTTTATGTAACTTCTGAATGTCTCATGATGCATTCTTTTTTTTCTGTGCAGATCAGGAACTTGAACACGATGTTCTCCCGCTTGAAGCGCATGGTCCCGCTGATGCGCCCAGACCGCAAGCCGAGTAAAGTGGACACACTCAAAGCAGCCACTGAATACATCCGATTGCTTGTTGCAGTTCTGCAGGACACTGACAGAGTAAGTGCCACGTTCACCACCACTCCTGTTAAAGAAAATATAAAAATATCCAGTCTCCCAAGATGAGCACGGCCACTTACCTGTACCCTGCACTCTGAAATGTTGATTCTTGTCATTTTCTTTTTTCTTAGGATGAAAGCAGTGGGACTGATTTCTTAAAGAATGCAATCAGTTATGGCCAGAGTGAAGGCTTGGGAGGTGACCTTTGGAGAGTCGATGATGTGAGTGTTTTCCACCATGAAGCTATGACTAACCTTCCTATCGGAGGTCGTAGCGCTTTGACTCCTAACCATGCACCCGCCTATTTGATCAAGAGACATTAATAATAATAATAACTTTATTTATATAGCACCTTTTAAAAACACAGGTTTAAAAAGTGTTTTGACAAACAGCAAAAACAAGAACAAACTAAACCAAACACAGAAGAACATAAACAACAGCAAGAACATAACAAATGCAAAATACCAAAAATAATTAAATACAATTCAACAGAAAAGAACCCATAGTGCACGATACCCAACAGACATATATAACCCGACCATCACAAGAACCATCATAAGAACCATCATAAGAACCATCATAAGAACCATCACAAGAACCATCACAAGAACCATCATAAGAACCATCACAAGAACCATCATAAGAACCATCATAAGAACCCAGGAAACACAAGAACCCAACAACACGAGCTGAGACCAAGAGGACCAAAGATGTAAAAAGATGTAAGAAACTAAAAGAGCTAAAAGCAAATCAAAAGATAACAGCAATAATAAGGTAAGAGCAGTAAAAGAAATAGAAACAAGTGGTTAAAGGATCAAGAAACTAAAACAATTATATTAATAATAATAAAAAGTAAATATAAAACATAAATAGACAACGTAAGTAAGATAAGAAATTAACAAGTTAAAACACGAGGAGTTAAGATAAGAGCATAAATAAAGAGCATAAATAACAGGACAGTAAGAAGTAAAAGAAGATAAAAATAGTAAAACCAGTAAGAAAAGACATTAAGAAGACGACATCACATAAAAGCAAGTCTGTAAAAGTATGTTTTAAGAAGGCATTTAAAAGAATTGAGTGAATCTGCGAGGCTTATCTCCTCAGGGAGGTCGTTCCAAAGTCGAGGGGCCCTGACTGAAAAGGCCCGGTCACCTTTAGTTTTAAGTCTTGACTTTGGAACGACCAGGAGGCCCCCACCTGAGGATCTAAGACTGCGGGCTCATATGGTGTCAGTAGCTCTGTTATATAGCTTGGAGCCAGCCCCGTCCGTGCTTTAAAAGTAATGAGTAAAATCTTAAAATCGATTCTAAAACTTACAGGAAGCTAAAACTGGAGTGATGTGATGAAGAACTGAACATTTAGTTTAATGGTGTTTATTTCTGTTTAGGCTGAACATTGTAACAATGACCATCTGTTTTGGAGCTTTTGAAGCTAAGAACCAAAAACTAAAGCCACATTTAACCTTTACTTACTGTTCGGGTCCGCCTTGACCCGTTTTGACATTTGACGGCAGTAAAAACATCCTAAATGTCATTTTGTTTCAACCTGGAAGTTCTTTAAATTTTCCTGGATTTTCATATTTTTCTAGAGGGGCTACAAACTTCTCTGGTGCCAACAAGCGATCATGGGTGACCAAGTTTAACCGTTAAGTCAGCTTGCAGCGCGCTCACATTAAATAATCACATTAATAATTCTTTGCTCTGTGAATTTCAGCCTCCCCTTGGAAACAATATGACATCTAGTGCTTTTATTTTGAAGGTGGACAAACTGAAGTGTTGTGCTTTGTATTGACGAGCTGCTGACTCAAACCGAAACACTCAAAAGCTTGTTGATATGAATTCAATTTACGTTCCTATATTTGAGTATAAACAGCAGCTCTTAAAGGAGCAGTATGTAACTCTGACCCCTAGTGTTTAAAATAGGTACTGCAGTTCAAATTCTAAATTGAACTGCTGTGCCCCGCCCCCCCCCCCCTCCTCTCTAGAGTGGATGCTCACACAGGTCACCATGTGGTGGACACTGAAGCTTCAGTGTTTATCCAGCTCTGCATGGGTCTGTAAACCTTGTTTCTGCTCGTGGAGCTTATAGTTTTATACATGCAGAGGCTTTTTAGGTCGGGTACAATCACTTCTATCTGAACCACTTCTCTTGACCGCTTCCATCACTGCAACACCTGTTGGTTTGATCTGATAACTGCTCTCATATCTGACAAACAGAGGGGCGTCCAAAACGGCCGTGTGGGGGTGCCTTAAAACCACCTACCTTCTCTGGTCCAAACAAATCCAGAGCATTCAGGAGCAGAATCTAAAGTTAGAAGGAGGACATACTGGCTGCTGCATTGTTGTCAGAGAAGCCAGCACTTCAACATAGCATGTTTCCTTAATGTCTGATCAGACAGTAAGATACCTTTATCATTTCACTCTCTACACATCTTACTGACTGGACCTTTAAATAAAGCTGTCATGGATTCTCTTTCTTCATGACTGAATCAGGTGTGTATTCTGATATCAGGCTCTGTTTTTTAATTCTATGCTTTTTTTCCTGACAGTTGCTGGACATGTCGGAGGAGCACATGGAAGACGGATTCACTTTGGCCCCCGGAACCGGTAACGGAGGACGGCGACATGAGCAGACTGGTGCTGCAACACTGCGTGATGCCTTCATACCAGTTCATCATCCAAGTAGCTCCCGATCAAAGCTCGGTAACTCATTGCACTCATGTTGTGTTGAATTTCATGTTCTCTGATCCTGATCCTTGGAGCTGGAGTGTAGTGGAGCGATAATTGAGATGTCAGACGTGCAGCGGGGAAAAACCTGAATCCTGACTCAGACAGAGATGAAGCTAATTCTCACTCTGATAAGTTTGACATAGCGGCGGTTACACCATGATTACTGCCTGCTTCTATCACGTCAACCACTTGTTGCAAATTTACATTTCAATAAAGAGATGTTAGAATTTCAATCATAACATCCGAGGCTCCTTCCAGGCATCTCTCCTAGTTAAAGTCTGACGTCAATTCATTAAGTGCGGGCAGAAACGTGTTTTATACAGAACGCCTCGGGGGGGGGGGGGGATCTCTTTTCTTCTCCTCTCTCTCTCTTCTCTTTTCTTCTCCCCTCTCTCTTCTCTTTTCTTCTCCTCTCCTCTCCCCTCTTCTTCTCTCTTTTCTTCTCCTCTCCTCTCCCTCTTCTTCTCTCTTTTCTTCTCCTCTCCTCTCCTCTCTCTCTTCTCTTTCTTCTCTCTCTCTCTCCTCTCTTCTTCTCCTCTCTCCCTCTCTCTCCTCTCCTCTCCTCTTCTCCTCTCCTCTCTCTCCTCTCTCTCCCCTCCTCTCCTCTCCTCTCCTGTTTCCGTTTCCGTTTCCGGTTTCCGGTTTCCGGTGAGTGTGAGTGTGAGTGTGAGTGACGGTGGTGGTGTTGCGAGTGGCGCGGAGATTGAATTGTTTGCTATCCTTTCTACTGTTTTCAAAGTGCACGATCAGGTCAGATTGTTTTCATATTTGTATTGAGTGTTGTTGGCTGTGTAAGACAGATCGTTGGAGGGGTTGGAGGGAGGAATGGCGTCTGCTGAGACGCCACCTCCGACTCTCCGACAGGGAGTTCGGATAGTCCCTCCGAACGGTACTGTCACCGTGGAGGAGGTTCTGTTAGCTGCAGGTGAACAGGTAGGCCATGAGAAACTTTTGTATGCATCCCGAATGAACAAGGCTGTGGTTGTTTTTCTGAAGAGTGAGCCTCTTGTGTATCAGCTGATTGAGAGTGGTGTGTTCATTAGGGATTTGTTTGTGCAGGTTTCCCCGTTGTCGGTTCCCTCTACGCGGATCACCGTATCCGGTGTTCCGCCGTTTATTTCTAACAACTTGTTAGAGAACGAACTCCGCAGGTTTGGGAAGTTTGCGAGTGGTTTCAAAACTGTGAGTCTAGGGTGTAAAGATCCCAAACTGAAACATGTCCAATCTTTGCGGCGTCAGGTGTTCATGTTTTTGGATTCGCCCACACAGACTCTGGAGGTTTCCTTTAGAGTGAAACACGGTGACGCTTCTTATATGGTGTATGCGAGCTCGGGACAACTGAAGTGTTTTGAGTGTGGTGATGTGGGACACAAACGTTTTGCGTGTCCGCACAGACAGCAGGAGGCGGCTAGTGCTGCCGCTGACGCGGGCAGCTCTGTTAGTGTGGCGCATGTGGCGGGGGCCGCGTCCGCGTCCGCGCCTGGGGCGGAGGCCGCGTCCGCGTCCGCGCTGGGGCGGAGGCCGCGTCCGCGTCCGCGCTGGGGCGGAGGCCGCGTCCGCGCCCGTGCCTGGGGCGGGGCCGCGTCCGCGTCCGTGCCTGGGCGGGGCCGCGTTCGTGCCCGTGCCTGGGGCGGAGGCCGCGTCCGCGTCCGTGCCTGCGGCAGAGGCCGCGTCCGCGCCTGCGCCTTGTGCTGAGGCCGTGGCTGAGGTAGAAGTGGCTTCGACCAGCTCTCAGGCTACAGAAAAATCACAGACTGTAGATAATGATAAAACTGAAGATTCCACAAGTTCTGCAGTTGTAGATGTTTCATTGAAGGAAGGTAAGACAGTGTGTTGTAGCCAGGCATCATGTGAAGGAGAGGACATGGATGAAGATTATGAGTCAGACAATGCATCCATTGCTGATTTGCCAAATAGTGGCTCTGGTCTTTATTCTTTAGAGTCAATCAATCAATTTATGGATGAAACGTACAACAAATCAGTAAAAATCAGTGACTACTTTAGTGATACTGAAAAGTTCATAAAGTCAGTCAGCATACTGAAAAGACAGGTTGGGTTTGACCTCCTGGACGCGAAAAAACGGTTCCGTCTTAAAAAGCACATCACCGCACTGAGGAAAGTTGGACGTAAGAGTGTGAAGAAGACAAAGAAATGATCATGCATCACAAGGTGTTTTTCTTCTTCTACTGCTCCCTGTTTGTGTCTACTTGTCTGTTCTTTCTCTCTGATCTTTCTATGAGGAGTCTTAAGATAGGATCTCTTAACATTAATGGTGGGAGAGACAGACAGAAAAGGGGCCTTATCTCTGAGATCTCAACTCAGAAAAACATTGATATCTTGTTTTTACAAGAGACTCATACCACACCATCAGATGAGACAGATTGGGGTTTATGGTGGGAGGGCTCTAACTACCTTAGCCATGGCACCAACTTTAGTGCAGGAGTAGCCATTTTGTTTAGAGCATCTGCAAATGTAAAGATCGTCTCTTGTGCTGAAATTGTAAAGGGAAGGCTTTTAATTGTAAGAGCAGAAATAGAGGACACTGTTTTCTGCTTCACTAATATTTATGCTCCAAATAATGGAGCTGAAAGGGTAGCTTTCTATACCCGCCTCCAAAAGGAGTTACTGATCTATAATCAGGATCAGATCATTCTTGGTGGTGATTTTAACTGCACACTTGATTTCACCGTGGATAGAATAGGAGAGGAGCCACATCCACATTCATCCCAGACTTTAAACACTGTCATCTCTCACCTGGATTTGTTGGACACATTTAGAGTGAAACATCCACAATCCAGACAGTATACATGGGTCAGGGTTAACAGTAACAGGGTGTGTGCAGCTAGACTGGACAGGGTTTACATCTCCAGAACTCTCAACCCCAGATTAATTCATTGTAATATTCTGCCTGTCGGCTTCACTGATCACCATTTTGTTAGTGTGGAGCTGATTATTTCACCAGGTGAAAGGGCTAAGTCCTTCTGGCATTTTAATAACAAGCTTCTACTGGACAATGTTTTCTGTAAAAACTTTGGGTGTTTTTGGGATCAGTGGCAATTAAGAAAAGTTGAGTTTGATTCTTTGAAGCTTTGGTGGGAGGTTGGTAAAGCTCAGATTCGTGTTTTTTGTCAGCAGTACACGTCACACTCTTCTGCTAGATTAAAAACAGTCATTAAAAATCTTGAGGACAACATTAAGAACCTTGAGGAGGGGTTAAATGGGAGTGTGGATCCCACCGCTGGTACCCTGCTGAAGGAGAAACGTATGGAGTTGAGCTCTTTCCTGCAGGAGAGGGTGAAGGGAGCTCTTGTGCGGAGTCGTTTCCTTCAACTCAAAGACATGGATGCCCCAACGTCTTTCTTTTTCAATCTTGAGAGATCTGTGGCTCAAAAAAAGCTGCTGACTTGTCTGAAACTGCCAGGAGGTCGAATAACAGCTGATCCAAAGGAAATGAGCAGTCACGCCATGCAGTTCTATGAGGATCTGTTTGGAGCAGAGAGTTGCAGCCAGGAGTGTCGCAGGGAGCTCCTGGAGGGTCTCCCTCAGCTCAGTGTGGAGGAGAGGTCTCTTCTGGAAGGGGAGCTGTCTCTGGAGGAGCTCACTGCTGCTGTCACTCAGATGGCAACAGGAAGAGCACCTGGAATAGATGGGTTGTCCACAGACTTTTTTAAGAGGTTCTGGAATATCTTGGGTCTGACCTGCATAGTGTTTTAATGGAGTGTTGCAGGACCGGGTCTCTTCCTGGTTCTTGTAAGAGAGCAGTTCTTTCCTTGCTCCCCAAGAAAGGTGACCTGGCATTGTTAAAAAACTGGAGGCCGGTTGCTTTGCTTTGTGCGGACTACAAGATCCTCTCCAGAGCTTTATCGAACAGACTAAAGGACGTTCTGGGAAGTGTGGTCCATAAAGACCAGAGTTACTGTGTTCCAGACCGGACAATCATGGATAATGTTTTTCTTATCAGAGATGTCATTGATGTGTGTAAAATCTATAATCTAAATGTTGGCATTGTGTCTCTGGATCAAGAGAAGGCGTTTGACAGGGTGGATCACTCGTATTTGTTTTCTGCACTGAGGTCTTTTGGTTTTGGGGATGGTTTTGTGTCATTAGTTGGTTTGTTGTATCAGGATGCACAGTGTTTGGTGAAGATGGGGGCGGGGTTGAGTCGGCCAATCCCTGTACGGCGAGGGATCAGACAAGGTTGTCCCATCTCCGGCCAGCTGTACAGCTTGGCTATTGAGCCCTTGCTGTGCAGGTTGAGGGACCGGCTCAGCGGGCTTTCTTTGCCCGCGGCCTGTAGCATTGAATGTCCCCCTACAATTTCTGCCTATGCTGATGATGTAAACATCTTCATCTCCAATCAGGGGGACGTTCGGTGTCTGCGGGACACCCTGTCCCTGTATGAAAGGGCAACAGCTGCACGGGTGAACTGGGAAAAAAGTGGTGCCTTATGGTGGGAGAGTGGAGGGACCAGGCAGTGCCCAGTCTGCCGGGTGGACTTGAGTGGGGGAGGGAGGGGTTGAAGGTGTTGGGGGTTTATTTGGGTACCGAGGGCTTTAAAAGTAAAAACTGGGAGGGAGTTAGGGAGAAAGTGTGCGCTCGGTTGTCTAAATGGAAATGGTTGCTACCCCAGTTGTCGTATAGGGGAAGAGTTCTGGTGGTCAATAACTTGGTTGCCTCGACTCTCTGGCACAGACTTGTGGCTTTGACACCTCCAAGAGGGCTGGTGGAGGACATTCAAAGGGCCATCCTGGACTTCTTCTGGTCAGGCAAACACTGGGTCCAGGCGGCAGTCCTCTACCTGCCGGTGGCTGAAGGGGGACATGGACTTATAGACATTCAGTCAAAAATTGCCTCATTCAGACTCCAGACTGCACAGAGACTCCTTTTCACTTGTGGTCCCAGCTGGATGGACATCGCTCGACTGCTGCTGAGGAGAGCTGGACGGCTGGGGTACACTAAGCAGCTCTTTCTGTTAAAGCTTGAGGAGGTGGATCTCACTGGATTAACATCCTTTTATATGTCTGTAATGCAGGCATGGAAAATGTACACATTCAAAAGGGAAAAAACTGAGAGTCTGGGAATGTGGATCTTTGAGGAACCGTTATTTTTTAATGATTTCATAAGGACTCCAACTTTGCAGTCAGCCAGTCTCCGGGCCAGTTTCAGAGAGGCAGGCTGCACAAAACTGGGTCACCTGGTAAGACTGACCCTGGACGCCCTCAAAGAAAGGACCAATATCACCTCCAGCCGGGTGGTTGAAAGAGTGGTGGAGGAAGTCTTTGCTGCACTTCCAGTAAAACTTGTGACATTTCTAAACATTGAGAATCTGTGTGAGCAGTGGAGTGAAGAGGGCGAATACAGCTTCCCATCTTTGTCTGTTACCCCAGATGTCGGGGAGTGGCAGGAAAGAGGAGGTGGACTGCTGTCCTTTAGTACTCCTGTTCTGGGAAAGTTCCAGGATGCAGGGAAAAAGGCACTCTATCAGTCCTGTGTTAAGGTCCTACATCTTCGTGGTCTGTCGGGAGTGAAAGAGTCGAGGTGGATCGAGTTTTTTGGCCCGGAGGTTTCCCCGAAAGGCAGCTGGCGGTCCCTGTACAAGCTGCCTGTTGAGAAGAGAACAGCAGATCTCCAGTGGAGAGTTGTGCATGGGGTTATAGCCACGAACAGATACAGAGCGCACATTGATCCAGGGGTGGGAGAGGAGTGTTTGTTTTGTTCACTAACTGAAACTTTGTCTCATCTGTTTGTTGAGTGTCCCAGGCTCTCACTCTTGTTTGTCCTTATGAAAAGCTTGTTTGAAGCTCTCGGGGAGGATTTCTCTTATGCAGTGTTTGTTTTTGGGCCAAAGTATTCTGCAAAGAAAAAGACTGTACATACACTGATGAACTTTTTATCTGGCTCGGCTAAGTTGGCCATTTGGCTTACACGCAAGAACCGAGCTCAGGGTACTGGCTGTGTGGAACCGGTGCTGGTTCTGGAGGGACTTTTGAAGGCCAGACTGAAGGTAGAATTTGCCTATTATCAAATGATGGACAATGTGCAAGACTTTAATAGTGTATGGGCTGTGGAAGAAGCTTTGTGCTCTGTGGGTGGGGATGGAGAGCTGATTATTCATTTTTGATGCAGTAAATGTTGTTTTTGTTGATGTTGTGATTTTTGTTGCACTTGTTTTATTTTATTTATTTATTTATTTCCTTCTCTTGATCTGAGTGATGATGTGACAGTGTTATAATTTTCTCCTGGTAGTGGTAAAATAAAAGGTATTTTGAAAACCAAACCTCTCTCTCTTCTCCTCTCCTCTCCTCTCCTCTCCTCTCTCTCTCTCCTCTCCTCTCCTCCTCTCTCTCTTCTCTCTCTCTCTCCTCTCCTCTCCTCTCTCTCTTTCTTCTTCTCTTCTTTCTCTCTCTCCTCTCCTCTCTCTCTTCTCCTCTCTCTCTCTTTTCTCTCCTCTCCTCTCCTCTCCTCTCCTCTCTTTCTTTTCTTCTCCCCTCCTCTCATCTCCTCTCCTCTCCTCTTTTCTTCTCCTCTCCTCTTCTCTTTCCTCTCCTCTCCCTCATCTCCTCTCCTCTTCTCTCCTTTTCTCTTCTCTCTCGGCTCCTCTCTGAGCGAGGCCTTCAACGGAGGCAATCAGGAGAATCCGGTGTACATCTCTGAAATGAACTGCCAGGAATATAATCACATCTGCAATCAGCGTTAAATGTTTGATTGTGGCTTTAAAAATCGCCCTCACACAAGAGACCCTTTTCCTCTGATTGTCTAATTCACGGTGACGAGGATGAGAGCGATACGAGACCTTATAGTTCCAACACGTGTGTCGTCATGTCTTTTCACTCTTATCTGTACGACCAGCTGTTGACATTTTAATTTCTCCTCAAGCAGTAGTTCAAGGTTCAAACGACCCCGATAAGAAAATAAAATGTACTTTAATAATCCTGCCAGGGGAAATTAAATTGGACACTCTGTTGTTGAACATGCTACACACACACACACACACACACACACACACACACACACACACACACACACACACACACACACACACACACAGAAACTCCTGTGGACAAACTGATGGAGAGATGTCAGAGTGAGGGGGGGGGCTGCACACAGAGAGCACTCCTGAGCTGGTGGGGGTTCGATGCCTTGCTCAAGGGCACCTCAACAGTGCTCAGGAAGTGAACTGGCACCTCCCCAGCTGCCAGACCAACTTCCAGATTTGGTCCACACCAGGACTTGAACTGGTTCTAGACTCAAGTCCCTACAGACTGATCCACTGTCATGAACATAAGCACATGCGATGTAAAATAAAACTTGTGTCCTTTCTTTTGTACCGTCAGAAAAAGAAACATAACCTGTCCTCCTCTCCGCAGATGTCTCAACCTTTCTGATCGGGGGACGAGCAGAATGCTTGGATCGATATTGAAGATCTGACAGGTAGTGGCATCCTGTTTCCTAACTTAAAAAACTGTACAGCCTGTCCTGCCTTTCTGCTGAAGCACATGAAGGACACTACACCCCCCGCCTTCCTCTGTTGTCCTCCTCTTCACCCATAAAACCCACCACAGTTCAAGATTCAGGACTCCATGTAATTGTCTTTTTTCTCATGTCTGCAGATTTCAAAAGAAAAAAGACAAAATGTTGTTGAACCTGGTGACTTCCTTTTCAACTTTTACCTTTGATGTTTCACTCAGGAGTGTGACAGAAAGAAACACATGTAGCACAAAGACTCATGTGGATTTAAAGTGAGTGCAGCACATGCCCCTCTGATACGGAGTGTGACAGAGGAGGGGGAGGGGCAGTTTGTTAATGATCCTGACAGCCTGTGGAAGGAAACTGTTGGGCATGCTGCTCGATGTAGCAGAAATGCTCCGGTACTTTCTGCCTGACGAGAGGCGGTCAAACAGTTTGTGAGACGGTGGTTGGAGCCCCAGGCCTTAAGAGCACAGCGCTGATTGTGAGGCTCAGTTACACTTTTCACCCTTACCCCCACCACTTAGCCCTACCCCTCGTTTTGGAGTGCCACTTTACCCCTTTGAACAGACTAGTGGTGAAATCTTTCCCCTATAAGACAACCCTTTAAGAGCCTGATCCGTCATTAATGTTCATCGGCTGAAATGACATAAAAGGAAAGAATATTGTCTTCATGCCTTTTCTGAAGAAACGGGGCACAGTTCATTGGAACATCATCAAACTAAGTTAATGTTAATGTTGTCGTCATTTTCAGATCTCATTTGTCATTTTTGCCGGTGATGCGCAGTGCATTCTGGAGATGACTCTGTTTTAGAGGGCAAAGTAGCCCAAACACTTCAACCCTACCCCTACATGTGAACGTGCTAAGTGGTGGGGGTAAGGGGTGAAATGGGACTGAGCCTTAAGTTTCCTGCAGGAATGGGAGAGGGGCGCCAGTAAAAAAAAAAAAAAAAAAAAATCAATTAAAGAAAAACCTTATTTGTAATTCAAACAATTATTATAATTATTATTAATTTTTTCAACTCAAAAAACTTCCGCTGGCTGTCTTCACTATCCTGTTAAACTGCTGTTGTTCAAACAAAGAAAATATCAACACAATGATGTCATCGTAGCTGTAGTTTAGTGTCTTATTATATATTAGTGAGTAGTGAGGAAGGAGGATTTGAAGTCATGGTGGTTGAAGCTGACTGAAGTTTGTGGGTCTGTTGAGTATACAAATGCTGCCCCCGTGTGGTCAGAAAGGATATAGTTATTTATTTTATTTTTAAATGGGGACAGTGCACATTAAGGAACATAAATATGGTAACTATGTCACACTTCCATCTGTAGTCCCCTGGAAAGGTTGATGGTTCACATGTAAACACATTTACATAACGACAAGTAATGACCAAACAACAACATGAACTGTACTTTAGTTGACAGAGACACATTTAAAGTGGATAGAGTGACCTTCAGAGTGTGGCTGCTCGTCTCTCAGCTACATGTCACTTAACCCCCGACCTTCCAGTCAAGATATGACCGACTCCACCACTGAGCCACAGCCGCCCATGAGCCACAGTATGTCGTGATAAAACTTCTAGAGGCTTTTTACAATCACAGACCAGCACTGGGAAATATTGTTAAACTTTGCCGAAACATTGTCAGCGTTGACTTGAATGATCTTGGCCACTCAGAAGACAAAGAACATCTTGGAAGACCCTCAGCCCCGTCTGCATGCAGAGTTTAGTTTAGAGTTCAGGTCAGGGAGGACTTTGCAGGTGATTATGAGGAGTTTAGAGTGGATACGCTGGAAGATAGGGAGCCAGCTGAGGTTATGAAAGACGGGGGTGATGAGGTCACGGGTGTAGACGGGAGTGTGTGGCAAGGCAAGCAGCAGAATTCTGGATATATTGTCGTTTCTTGAGTTTTTTGAACGATGAAGCGTAGATGAGACTGTTGCAGCAGTCCAGTGTGGAAGTGATGATATTGTGTCCCTTTCATCACCACACTGACTCCAAACGTAAAGACACACTGACACAGATGTTTCCACTACATCAGACTCCTTCATGCTTTATTTTCAACAGCACAGGAGCTGATATGATACACGTTGTTACAGCGCCCTCTGCTGGTTCATCACTGTATGTGGAGTCGTGCGTGCGTGTGTGCGTGCGTGCGTGCGTGTAGTTAACACACTCGCAGCAGAGTCGTTCAGTGTTGGTGAAGTGGTTAATAACTCGATGAATCGTGTTCTTTCTATTAAAGCTGTTTATGTTTCACTTTTAGGGGCCTGTTGCTTTGAAGAAACGGATTTATCCATGAAGAAAATGAAGAAAAATGCAATTTTATTTAATTTTATTTTCACTTTTCACCTTTATAATTTATAAGCCGATATGCATGTGCTTTTATTTTCATTTACATAAAACTGTAACCTTGACAGCCCTGAAATAAATCCTTCAAATCTGCTTTAGTTTGTTTTCTTGGATTTTCTAACTCACTATTTCATCATTTCACTGTTCAAAAGATGCTCAGACAACTTCTTTTTTTTTTTTTAGCTTTCCTTATTTAATACTGTGAATTAATTCATATATTTGACTGTTGTTGATGAATATTTCAGAGTGGCAGAGAACACCGAACAAAGGAGCACAGATACAGAGCTCCAGTTCAATCCTTTATTTTCTATAGTTCCAACTGGTTTATCTGACAACAAAGGGAAAAAAGGGTTTAATGTCAAGGGATTCATGGTGGTGCAGTGGTTAGCTCTGTATCCTCACAGCGAGGACGTTCCTGGTTTGAATCCCAGTCTGACAGAAGCCTCAGTGTGTAGTCACAATTCAGAAGTGGCACCATTGAAACATATGCAAATTAAACAAAACACAGTAAATAAAACATGAACTAAATAAATGCTTAAACAAAGGAAACTTAAATTTTTCAGAACACAGTCAAAACTATTTTCCACACACAGAGCCAGATAGAGGACTGGCTTCTCTGACAACAATGCAGCAGCCAGTATGTCCTCCTTCTAACTTCAGATTCTGCTCCTGAATGCTCTGGATTTGTTTGGACCAGAGAAGGTAGGTGGTTTTAAGACACACCCTACACGGCCGTTTTGAACGGCCCTCTGTTTGTCAGATATGAGAGCAGTTATCAGGTCAACAGGTGTTGCAGCGATGGAAGCGGTCAAGAGAAGTGGTTCAGATAGAAGTGATTGTACCCGACCTAAAAAGCCTCTGCATGTTTCTAATAAGCTCCACGAGCAGAAACGTGCTCAAACTAGGATCAATATTGGAGATGCTTTTGAAAAATGGAGAGAGGTTAGAACACAGAAAGGTTTACAGACCCATGCAGAGCTGGATAAACACTGAAGCTTCAGAGTCCACCACATGGTGACCTGTGAGAGCATCGACTCTAGAGGAGGGGGGGCAGACAGCAAAATTTAGAATTTAGACTGCAGTACCTATTTTAAACACTAGGTGTCAGAGTTACATATTTTTCCTTTAACTGTTTGTTTTCAAATGTTTAGTCAGGTCTTAATCATGTTCAATCAAATCAAGGCGTCAAAACTAGAAGCAACAATCATGCTGAATGGACCTCTGACAGCATCTCATTCTACAACTTGATTATAATAATAATGTTGCATTAACATTTAATCAGCAGGGTATCTGAGCCTGTCTGTGAGCTGTGACTCGACACAGACGGTGCAAACTGTGAGCCTGAATCCTCAGGTAGACGTTCTGAGGTGGATCTTTGAACAGAATCCATTTCTATCCATTTTGACACAGGTTCAGGAAAGCCCCTTGAGCATGCTGCTGTAGTATCCATGTCAGCGACTTCAGAGCCGATTACTTAGCAATAGCAATTGTTCACTTTTATTGACAGACCTTCAAACACAGACAGAGCAAACTGTGAGCCCAAATCCTCAGGAAGTGGGTATTTGGATCAGGTAAAACCAGCAGGTGTCCGTCGGTAAGATTAGACTCTGTGACACTGACAGACACTCAGAGCGGATAACATCATTCCAGTCAAAATTAGTTTATTCTTATATTTAGAATTTTCATTTCTTATTTGTGCTTAATGTCAGATTTCTGTATTTCTTTGACATATCTTCATATTTATTCATCTCTGTGATTGTCAAAGGTTGGATTATTTTCTTCTTTTATTGTATCTATTCCTCTTTGTCATGATGCTTTTAATGTCTTTGTGTGAAGCACATTGTAGGTGAGATGTGCTGCAGCCTACACATTTGCCTTACATTTTATTGTTAACATGCTGTTCACCATTCGACCAGCAAGGTGGCGCCTGCTTGATGCGTTGCAGTTAACAGTCCGACTTGAACTGGGCCTAGAAAAAAAAACATTTAAGGACAAACCGGAATCCACACAAGCTGCGCGTGTTCCTCACAAACTCAAAAACCCCACGTGCTACCTAAGATTGAATCCTATATTGCCACGAGCGGGGGCCTTTTTGGGGAGGGGGGGTGTGTGTGTGTCAGACCGTGGACAGGCAGGCGTGGCAGTGGGCTGGTCCAGGGCGCACAGAGGGGATGAAACACATCAGGATCCATTGACTTGGTATCAGCTGAGGCCCTGAAACATCCGACAAAGGAAACGTGGTGTTGGGGAGCACAGCTTTGATTTTTTTTACCACAGCTGCTGATTCTGAGGGCGCTTCGTGGGCAGTGGGTGTGCCGCACCCACGCAGAGGACACCGTCCTGAGGATGCACTGAGGTGAGGAGCCTACAATGCATCCTGATATTTGTGTCTCAGAGTGGAACAAGCGGTCTTGGAGAAATTGCTGGGCGTAGCATGATGTCTGTGTCTGATGTTTACAGTCATGTCGTTGTTCATACGGGGCATCACGGCTTTCTGCGCAAAGGATTTAGTCTGTGATTCTATTAAAAATATTAAACTCGTTTTAGTTGTTCGTTGCACAGCAGCCTCTCAAAATCGCTTTATTGTGCCTCTGAGGTCCCGTATGAGCAGACTGTGTTGTGTGTTCAGAGCCTGGTGTGTGCTAAAGCCATGATGGGTCTAATCTCGCTTAATAACAATCCAGTGATGGCTTTTCGTTTATTTAACAGGAGCTCATTCTAGCTGGTGCAGCCTACCGATGTGTTATGGTTTTTTGTTTTTTTTTACAAAGAGGAAAGTCGCGCAGTGATATGTCGTCGCTGCTGTCCTCTGCATGTTGCTGGGTGGCCATTAGCGGATCCTCGCGCTGCTGGTGCTGAGGCTGTGTTGCTAGGCAGCCATGCAGAGCCGCGAGCCGCCAGAGGATGCTAACAAAAGAAACAACAACAACCTTAAAAAACTGCATTGTGCTTTCACATTGAAATGTGGCGCTGCAGAATACACAAGCTGCACATACATGACTGTGATCAATAATCAAGCTTGTGTCTCTCCCTCCTCCCCCCATGTGGCACAGGGTGTTTAGGGAGTCGAGGAAGATTTGATTCCCCCACAGCAGCACAATGGCAGGCAGAGAGCCAATCATGGAGTCCCTCTGAGTCTCAGCTGTTGGGTTAGGATAGACGATGATGTGAAAGTCAAGGCCCGGGAAATAGGCCCGCAGGGACCCGTTACTATAGTTGTAGTGCTGCCTGAAGACACACTCTCCTCTTCAGTTCACCTAACAAATGAACCTTTTATATTTGCACATTAACACTCAACTCCCTCTGCTTGACTTAAGGGAGGGGAGGATTGTTATGAAACTAACATTAACCCCAAAGAGGAGCAGATTCTGTAAGATTCCAACAGACTGGGAAAACAACATAATGATTCATTTTGAGTAAACTATTCCTTATTAAGAGTGTTGTAGTCAAAACCACACTAACCGGGACCAGAGTGCTCCGAGACCGAGTCAAGACCAAGAGCATAAATATCACAGAAAAATCATCATCTTGTGTGCAGTGGGCGTGTCACTCACATTATGAATGACTAGAAGTTATTTATTCTTTTTAGAAAGAGGGCGTTTTCCTTCTAGTCACAGTAATGACGTGGAATAATAGCCTCTCAGTGGTGGTCTTGACCGGTCTAGATTTAAAGGGGACATATTCTCCCCCTCCTCCACCTTTTCCAACAGTCCCCTGTGGTCTAAATGAAACATCTGTGCTGTGCTTTGGTCAAAATATAACATGAATCAAGCACCAGAAGAGGTTTGTGACCCTGTATAAACCAGCTCTCTCAGAACGCTCCGTTTTGGTGTGTGTGTCTCTTTAAATGTAATGACCCCCGGCCCTGAGTTTTCCCAGTAGACATCACTCCTCTGTAGTGAGAATAAAAATGGCGGACCTGCTCAAAAGTTTTGTTCTAGTCTGGGGGTGGAGTCCATGGGTGGAGATATCAGGAGAGGGGAGGGGCTTTTTTATTTTATTTTTACCAGAATTCCACTGTGACATCACAAGGAGAGCACATTTGAAACAGAGCATTTTTCTCTGTGTTGTAAGACTTATGCAGACCACAAACAAAGGACTGGATGGGTTTATTTCACATGTTGTGGATCAGTAGACACTCAGGTTACACAAACATATGTTCAATAACACTGAAGAAGAGGATTTTTCATGATATGTCCCCTTTAAAATCCGGAGAAAAAGAGGATGGCTGCTTCTCATAATAGTTTTGTAGAAAGACTAGAGACACATATCATCGTTAGAAAAACATGGTCAAGTGGATTTAGCAGATATGTGACCTTTTAAGATTTAAATGAAGCTCAGTTCTCCGGGGTGCAGCTGGTGTGGTGAGTGAAATATAACTTTGCACAGTCAACAAAATGTATTCTAGCTCTACATCATTTATGCATTAATGCATTTCCTCCTGTGCATGCAGCATTTCTGCAAAGCACTCAGCTCAATCCGTGTTAAGAGGAAACGTGTTCACTTCTACTGTACAGCGTCTGAAACAGCTTGACCTCCCTCGTGTGATATCTACATGTCATCACGGCTTCCTCTTCTGTGGGTGAACCTAAGGCTGGACTACTGATTACTTTGAAAGCCTTTCTCCCAGCTACATGACAGACATTTAAGTACCTTATGAGCCGACTCGTACGTTGAGATCCCAGAGGCAGAGGTCTTCTGATATAGAAACCAAAGCGGGGCAGAGCATTCGCTGTAAAAACTCCAAAACCGTGGAACAACCTTACCCGAGGAGATCAAGTCAGCTGAGTCAGTCATCTCTGTTACATCACTTCTTAAGACACACTTTTACCCACGAGCATTTCCTGGTTTTAGTTCAATTTTACATTTAAAATTAATTTACAATAATTTTATAAATGTTTTTGATTTCTTAATCTTTGCCTTGTTTATTATTCCATGACCTGCCTGTGTTTACATTGGCTTTATTATTGCTGTCCTCTGAAAGTCCTTTGTAGGTTAATTTTGGAAAGTGCTCTATAAATAAAGGTCGTTATTATTATTAAAAAGATGATGTTATCATCGTAGATCAGGATCCATCGCTGATGAATGAGCTG